ACGTGCGGGGTTTGACAGGCTAGTGATACAGTAGAAGAACTACTTAAACTACTAGGAATAAGCCATAATATTGGTATAACCTAAAAGTACACACATTGGGTTGTGATAATTTGAATTTAAGTAAAGGTTGTTATTTTTATGAAGTTTCCTGGTGTGAAATAAATTCAGGGGAAATTGGCCCTACTTTTCTCCTGAAAGTTTGTCAGATCGCATTTTTTGTAGCAAGCCAACTATATATAATAATGGAAATAAATCTATATGGAACAATTGGAGTTCGAAGGATGCAATTCCAATTTCGGTTAATTTCCTTAATGTCTAGTAAAACAATATTACGCCCCAAACTTTGAAATGAACCGATTGAGTTTCAAAAGGATGTGATTCCATTTTTTCGTAAATTGACTGAGAGTCTCCCAGGACAATGATACTTTTGATTTAATCTGATTAAAATTCAAATCAATCGTAACTTGCGTTATATCATTATGAGGATAACGAAATCAGAGATCTACATTTTAATTAGATTACTATTCAATACAGTGAAGGAAGATCCAGCTCTTTATCTTTGGTTGAAATTCCAAAGGAACATAGCACAGACCTATGATTATTCAGGATTTCTTCGTTGGTAAGTGTCGTCGCGGTATATGTTGAGTTTCCAAGTGAATTGTCAATACCTATTTACTTGATCAAGCAGTTTGTGTAATACTAGTAGGATTTACACACAAAAACGACGTTTGGGGCTTTATTGATCCCTATATTTTCTTATATCATCATTCTTATATAATAAGAATAGTTGGTTTTTGTCACCTTGTTTTGTTTTTAAATTCATATACATCTTAAATTGTTTTTCAGAGTGTGTGTGTTCTGGGGTGGGGGTCTTATAGAGTTTGTTCATGCATTTATAACTGGAATCAAAAGCAGTACATGTATAAATGGACTTTTACTTTTGGCCTTTCTGCAAAATTATTGGGCACATACCTCCTAACCTGAAAGTGGAAAAAGTTGATATGTATGTTTGGTAAATAGATAAGGGTTATAGGGGTCAACAGATGCAGATCCAAGATATTGAAGAAGCCCCCTAAGCTGCAAAAGGGGGGGGGGGGGAGGGGCTCCCCCCTAAATCTGCCTCTGGTTAATGGGTGAATCTATTTAAAGACTTTTTAAGTATATATTCAAAATTGGGGATGTCCATAAAACCTGACAAATTTAGTATTTACTGCTTTAAAATATTCATTTTTCTCCCGACTATAGGCTTCAAAAAATATATAGTAGACATATTGTCTTTGGTCTTTGTGTTATTGTGGTTGAATTTTTTTAGGTCTTTCCACTTTTCTGTGGAAAGACCTATTGTATTTGTTCTGATTATTATGTCTTTCCACTTTTCTGTGGAAAGACCTATTGTATTTGTTCTGATTATTATTTTTTACCTCCGCCAAATTTTGTTATCGCGTAAAATTTTTGTTTCGCAAAATGTCGCTAAGATATTTCTTACAGTATCATACAGTTTATGTGCTTTTTATTTTCACTCATTCTCAGCCAAACAATTTTCTTTGTAAGAGTTATCTCCCTATTCACTGTTTATCAAGTGTGTGTATCTCCTTCGTAACAAAAAAAGATATCGACAAAATTCTTTTTCTAAATTGTTCGTTACATCCTCAGGAATTTTTGGCTAATTTGGATTGAAGCTATTCGATGAAATTTTAAAGGAGTTATCTACCTTTACCAAATAAATTTGTTGGTATGTTTTTTTAACTCATAAACCGTTAACCGTATAACCCTGGAATCTCTTTATTAGAGGTCCCTAGGTCCTAACTTAGAAAAAGGAGGTCAAGGTCAAAGGTCATGGTCAAGTTCTCAATTTTGACTTTTCCTTGTTTTTGCATTTTCTCAAACACTTTTAAAGATATATCTGAAACAACAAGTGCAAAATGTTTGCTTTATTGTAATGAAGATATGTTACATTTGGTCTGAAACAATCTAATGGCATCTTATAGGATTAAGTGTCCCTGAAATGTCCAATTATAAGGTTAATTGATTATTACTTCAACTTGGTTCATTATAAAGCCATATGACCTTTTACAAAAGGTTGGGTGACATATGACCTTGAAGAATGACAACCGTAAGTGACCTTGAGAAAACCAGTAGTAGCCATTTTTGCACTTTCTTCATGGAAAAGTACTCGGAATCCATATATTTTGTAATTTTAATACATTAACTTATCACTGAAGACTAGAAATGACTTTCGATAAACCAGAAGTGGCCAATTATCTCCTGGTTTACAAGCAAAAGTATATAGAAACTATATATTTTTGGAATTAGTGTGAAAGAAACTATTATATGAGACCGGAAGTAACATTTACTTCACCGGAAGTATCTAATTATCTCCCTTATTTCACTCAGAAGTATATAGAAACCACTTATTTATCGCATCAGTATGAAGAAACTGATAAGATGCCAATTTTAACTTGGAGTAAACACGAACTAGCTTCTTTTCAATAAATTTAAAAATTGCTGTGGAAAGACCTTCAATTGTTCTCTAAACAATTGGTTTTTAGGGAGCTACCATTTGATTTTTATGGGGGGCTAGGATGAAAAATTTTGTCCTGCCTTTTTTTTTGGTTGTGATCTCTGTCCTGCCTTTTTATTTTTCACTCTGGTCGGTCCTGCCTTTTTTTTTTATTAGTTTATCCTGACTTAATTTACATAAATTGTCATCCTGCCTATTTTTCTAACTCAAAACTCCTGTCCTGCCTTTTTTTTCAAATTTCATCCTAGCTCCCCCATAAAATTCAAATGGTAGCTCCCTTAATTGTTGTTTTGTGTCGATCTGATGAGTCAAACCTTTTTAAACTGATTTACAATTTGTTCTTCTGTTGTGCTGTTACACAACTGTCCAAAGTTAGGGGAGGGTTGAGCGCTCACAAACATGTTAACCATTCACATTCTGTATGACACTGTCCCAAGCCAGGAGCATGTAATTCAGTGCTTATTGTTGTTCATTTTTTGTTTTGTAGATAAATCAGGATGTTGGCTTCCTAGTTGAATTGTTTTAAATTTCATCATGATGGACGTTTTATAGCTTACTATAATGCATTAGGTTTGCTCATTGTTGAAAGCTGTACAGTGACCTATAGTTGCTCACATCTACCTTATTTGGTCTCTGGTGGATAGTTGTTTCATTGGCAATCATACCACATCTTCTTATTTTTACACTCAGTAATTATAACTCAGGAAATATATATTCTATTTGAACAATGATTAACAATTTTCATAGAAAGGCGAACCTCTTATTTACATCTTTTATATCTTTCATCAAATAAAAGGACATATATGGCTTTATTAATATATGTGCAAGTTATCAAAAAATATCTGTGAATTTATCTAGGGCTAGGACAAGGGGCAGTCTAGATCTTGCTGTAAGTTCAGGATCATTGTTGGATCCCTTCTGGAACGGGTCAGAACTAAAAACAATAATACTGACATAATGCCGTCCTTTTTTAACAAAGAAATAAACAGAACTTATTTAAATGATAGTGTGCTCACCATCAGGGCATAGAGTACTGGACGTTGTGGGTTTGAAGACCTTATACAGACCCAAAGAAACAGAACTTGATGGATATGTCTTAAAGGAATTTAGAGGTTATTTTGGCTTTCAACATTTTTATATAGACTTGGATTCATTCTAATAATTTTGGTGTCATAAAATTAGAGAAATTAAGAAGTGATAAATTCAAGTTGAGTTAATTATATGTAATTTAATTATTTGGGACATTCTCTTTAGCATGAGTATTATTAGTTGGAAGAATTGTAATTATGACTATTGGGCTATTTAGAGTGAATTCGTTTACTTATAACTTGTCATGATGAAATGATATACATTTGTTGTAAGAAAAAAGCAAGAACAGAGTTGGATAGTAACATAAGTAGAATTGTACTATTACATTAGAGGTCATATTGTATTGACATTAACCATTGTATGAGGCTTGGAATTAAATTAGAGAATCTTATTTTGAGTTAGGTATTAGTCCAGTGCAAATTTAGGTAACAGTAATTTACCGACATACAAATCAAGGTGACAACAAAAACTGAGGGAATCCCATGAACTCCAAAACGAGCAAGACTAGGTGCTTGATAGGTAAGCTTCTCCTGCTATAAATGCATCCTTCACCATGCAAATCCACAATCAGTCAAAATGTCACAATTGGGAATAGGACATAATCATTATGATTACAAATAAGACAGATTCCTTTCCTTGAAATTTTTGCAGTTATGTCTTCAATTTCAATTAACATTATATTTTTTTTACTTAAACCTTTTACAGCAAACAAAACTTTTAAAATATTTTATCATAAATATAGATTTATTATGGAAGAATGTTTCAACCTGCAGGACATTGGTAAAAGTAGTATCTCAGAACCAATTTTTTTATGGCTATATTATTATAAAGCTAACAAGCAAAGGAACTGTCCTTTAAATCTTTCTCTATGGTTTAATATACCTATTGCTAAAGGTTATTATAATATAGTTGTTGTTCAATCCCTGACTCTGGTATTTTATAAATTCACAAATGAATATTTTGAACCAAATCTAAAACATTCCTTTTTTGAATTGATATTCTATACAGTTTTTTTCTGGACATTGAACAAGCTGTCTTCCTGTAGTGTTTACGACAGTGTTGTTTGAAATCTTTTATGAAGTACAAAGGATGCCATGATTCTATATCAGCAGTTTATGTCCATTGAGCTCGCTTTCAGTAATTGTACACATTATTGTTTGTTGTTGTTGGGTTGAATTCTCATTGACTATACCCCACATTTCCTTTTATTCACATCAAAATATTGCCCAATTGACATTAAACATGTATTCTGTTTTTTGTGTGGTTAGGTTTCTGATGTGTACTCTACATCTTCATTTATTCATATCCATCAATCCATAATTCAGAATTATCTGTTTTATTCCCATCTGCTAGAATTCTAAATAGAGGAAGATAAAAAATGAAATTTACATCAAAATTACTACATTTTATTTCATTTCATTTTTAATCACAGATATATGAATTGCTATTGTGTCCATCTCCTGTCCCTGCTGTCTCCTTGGAATTGCTGATGGCAGATATGTGTAACACAAGAACTTTCAGCTCATATGTTGATTATTTCAGTCATTATATTTATTAATAGTATGTACTCATCCAAACTGCTTCAGTGCATCTTTTACTCTGAAATAAAATGAGTAAAGTTGTAAAAATGTCTATGTCTAATAAAACTGGAAATAAAGCAATGTGTTTGTCTTCAGACACCAGATTCTACTGATAAAACTGGAAATATTGTAATATTTTTGTTTTCAGACACCAGAAACTATATTCCAATGTTCATTAGATATAAATTTTTTCAATAGATATTTAAAACCTTTTAATGGTGTTGAAACTTAGATTGCTGAGCCAGTACTCTGGTAAAACAAACATGATGTAAATAAAATCACAGCTGTTTTGCCTGAGCACATGGTAGTTTTAGAACTAATAAATCACAAATCCCCTTTACACTGTCACATTAATACAATTCTACTTCTCAGCTAGACAAGTCATGTGAAGGATACAAGCCTTAATAGAAGATATCACTGATTGTGTCCATTGATTAAAACAAATATTCATACAACTGTACACAACCATTATTCTTCTAACTATATAAAACATTCTTGAAAAACATTACATCAATGAAAGAAATATCATTTGGTAGTTTTTAGAGAATGAGGTGACAAAATACTGTAAATTCATAAATTATTGGGAGGTTTTAATTAATGCGAATAATGTGACTGGGGGATGATCGCAATAATAAGAACTCGCATTCTGATATCTGATACATATATCTGCATAGAGATTTTCCAGAAATTGCAATAAATAATCTTGCATTTTTATCCATTCTTCAAAAATCGCAATAATAAATGATCACAATAATTTCTGAATTTATAGTAACATTAATCTCATTTGAGGTTTATTTGGGCGAATGTCTGTAAAAAAAACTTGCCTGTCAAATAAAATAGCATCACTAGAACTCAACAGCTGTTGTAATATCTTCTGTACACCCATTTCTCTCAGTTTGGCCTGTCTTTTATAGGCACCTATAATAAAATTTTAAAAAAATGATCAAGTATATCATGTATTAAGTTCCAATCTGCCTAAGAATCAGACAGTGGTGAAAACATGACAAACACAATCCTGCTCAAGTCTACATTAATTTAAGTTCAAAATGTATAATGGTGCACAAATATGCAAAATATTGGTAAAATAGTAGAATACATTGCTCTAATGATTTAAAGGAAAATATCATGTGCATTGTTCTGAATTGATATGGCAGGAAATTTCATGCTACAAAGGAGTAGGTTCGATAAGGCCCTAAAATGGCCCATAATTCTAGCTAAAATTTCAAAATTAGGATTTATCGAAAAAATTTCGAATGCACTTCATTACTCGTCTTTTTGTTAAGTTGAAACGTTTTTTATCTTTAAACTACGACCTTAATTTTCGGGGCCAAATGTGGCCCATACCAAACTTACTTCTTTAATCAACATTGGGTGTATCAAAATTTATCAAACTGGTCAGAACCTGTTTTAATGCACACAGAATTAGAGAACATATAATTTTCAACTGCATTTTCTTGTGTAATATCATCAGCAATATCTGTAAGCACCTTAATTTGCGTTTGGGGGTCAATTAGGAATCCATGGCTAGCTATCTAGTTCATAAGCGGTTCTCTATTAATTGTCTATTTTTCTTTTTCCAAAAATTAATAATTAACTGTTTACTGAAGTGTCAAATGTTTTTATTAATTACTGGACGTGTTATTTATATATACTGAGTAAAAACAATTTAGCAACAATTATTTTTAATATCATATTTCAAAATCTAATTATACTTCTAAACATAACAATGAATAAGTCATTGAAACAAAGAAATAAACCATAAGTTGCAATTCTTAATATTAAAAATCTTATTTTCGCAACTTTGTAAATTTTTATTTCAAAGGTTAAAAATTAAAATATATGTTGCTAAACTTTTTTTACTCAGTATATTTTATGGTCTCAACAACGGAAATGTATCTTACCTTCCTCTTCATTCCACACTAGATTAGATATACATGTAGTGGCAGCTATTTGTAATTTCACATTTGTATGCATCTAAAACAGATACAATTAAACAATTTTAGTCATTTGAAAAAGAATACATGAAAAAATCTGCCAGTTGAATGTTATTGCTTGGAAACAAGAGGCTTCCAAAAGCCTGAGCCGATCATCTGGTTTAAATTTGCCATTTTGATATTCACTTTAACCTTTATTGCAATCAGTTATTTTTGCTTATTTGTAAATCTCATGTGGCATTTTTGTAGATTTGTATTGATGATAATTTTTACTGTTTAAAGTTTACAACTCATCACTTATTAACTGCTGACTACATGAACAATTTCAAGTTCATTCAACATATTGAAAAGTATCTATCTGACAGTTTCGATAATGCCCCAACTGTACAATTTATCATTCTGAAGCTGCTGGCCAAGTATGAAATTTTTCTGTTCTGTAGTACTTGAGAAAAGTGTGACATATCAGAAAAGAGCTCCAATGTTACAACTCTTCATTGTCAAGCCTCTGATCAAATACAAAGTCTTTCTGTACAGTAACACCTGAGAAGAACGGGACAGAAATATTTGATGGACGAACAGAAGAACAGACAAATAAATGGACAGACAAGGTCAATGCAATAAAGCCCCCTTTTTTTATAGTTGCAGTATAATATTTAAAAGTGCACAAGTACTTAACAATATTTGTGCATGTGTCCTCATGTCAAAAATATTTGTGCAATACATGAAATGGCACTACATTTTAGAATTAGGAACAAAATCAATAGAATGCCAAGACATCCAAGACTAAACTTAATATTAACAATATTAACAAGAGTGCACACGCTGAAATGTCTCGCCTTCTTTACTAATCATTGATATTATGTTGATAGTCCTAAATATAAAGCTTTATTACAACTGTCACATAAACTTAACATTAACCAAGTAAACTAAACATTGACCAATGAACCATGAAAATGAGGTCAAGGTCAGATGAACCATGCTAGGCAGGCATGTACAGCTAACAATTCTTCCATACAACAAATATAGTTGACCTATTGCTTATAGTTTAAGAAAAACAGACGAAAACACAAAAACTTAACACTGAACAATGAACCTTGAAAATGAGGTCAAGGTCAAATAAAACCTGCGTGACTGACATATAGATCATAAAATATTTCCATACACCAAATATAGTTGAACTATTGCATATAGTATTAGAAAAAAAGACCAAAACTCAAAAACTTAACTTTGACCACTGAACCATGAAAATGAGGTCAAGGTAAGATGACACCTGCCAGCTAGACATGTACACCTTACAATCATTCCATACACCAAATATAGCTGACCTATTGCATGCAGTATTAGAAAGAAAGACCAAAACTCAAAAACTTAACTTTGACCACTGAACCATGAAAATGAGGTCAAGGTCAGATGACACCTGCCAGCTAGACATGTACACCTTACAATCATTCCATACACCAAATATAGTAGACCTATTGCATACAGTATAAGAAAAACAGACCAAAACACAAAAACTTAACTATAACCACTGAACCATGAAAATGAGGTCAAGGTCAGATGACACCTGCCAGTTGGACATGTACACCTTACAGTCCTTCCATACACCGAATATACTAGACCTATTGCTTATAGTATCTGAGATATGGACTTGACCACGAAAACTTAACCTTGTTCACTGATCCATGAAATGAGGTCGAGGTCAAGTGAAAACTGTCTGACGGGCATGAGGACCTTGCAAGGTACGCACATACCAAATATAGTTATCCTATTACTTATAATAAGAGAGAATTTAACATTACAAAAAATCTTCACTTTTTTTTCAAGTAGTCACTGAACCATGAAAATGAGGTCAAGGACATTGGACATGTGACTGACGGAAACTTCGTAACATGAGGCATCCATATACAAAGTATGAAGCATCCAGGTCTTCCATCTTCTAAAATATAAAGCTTTGAAGAAGTTAGCTAACGCCGCCGCCGCCGCCGCCGGATCGCTATCCCTATGTCGAGCTTTCTGCGACAAAAGTCGCAGGCTCGACAAAAACTGATTCTAACAGTCCTCAAACTAGCTACCTACCTTATGGAAAAAAATATAGGAAACAAAACAATATTACAGATATGTCAATACAAGGGCTTCCAAAAAATATTTAAGGGAGCTACCATTTGATTTTTATGGGGGGGCTAGGATGAAAAATTTTGTCCTGCCTTTTTATTTTTCACTCTATTCAGTCCTGCCTTTTTTTTTTAGTTTATCCTGACTTTTTTTTTACATAAATTGTCATCCTGCCTTTTTTTTTGGCAAATAATCTCATCCTGCCTGTTTTTTTACTCAAAACTCCTGTCCTGCCTATTTTTTTCAAATTTCATCCTAGCCCACCCATAAAAATCAAATGGTAGCTCCCTAAGCCAGCTGGACATTTTATGTCTGATCCCGATTTTAATCCCTTAAGACTTAGTAACAAAAGGAAACTATAGTAATCAGTGGGCCATCATATAACCAATGATTGACATTAAAAAAACCGATATTAAACTTTACTTTGATATAAATTCGATGTTCTAACGTAAACTGTTAAATTGACAGTGCATCATTCGAAGTGTGCAACATCAGCATACTAATATCTGCCTTAGACTCTTTATTTGTGCAAAATAACGTTGTCAAAAACTTTACTTTCGTTTTTAAAAAGCATATTTTCCTAATACCGGATGTTGACTTGACAATGGTAAAACATGGACCAGAGACGGATATGTAAAATCCGTGTAAGTTTACAAAGCACAATTGAGTTTAAGTAACTCTTTTCCATTTCTTCAAGAAAATACTCAAAATGAACGTTAGATAAAGGTATCAATGATAATTTTACTATTTTTGAAGAATTAGGATGCATAATTAAATTTCCCACCTGCTCACATGCTCACTGGTTCAAACAAAGTGGTACTGACGATTTTTCGTTCAAATCATATTTATAAACGTATTTCTGATAATTTCAATCTTTTTGACTAAATTAATTAGATGCAGACTGCTGAAATGTAAGAAAATAACTTTGAATAGACCGATCAATGTCCGGTACAAAAATCTGTCGCCTGAACAGGTAAATTTCAGCTGTCTGACAACTAATTAACTTTGATTAAAATGAGAAGGTATAAAAGTAGGGTTTGTTTTGATAGTACTTCTTCATCATGTCACGGAAATGTGTGGCTGTTTAAAGGCAAAAGGTCGGGTCAAAAAGATCCCATAAACTTTTTAAATTATATTAAAATGTATTGACCGTCTCTTAAGAAAGCATTGAAAACTAAAAGTAGATGTCTGTTTCATGCTTTTCCCAGACAGACAATGTCCGGTAAATTTATAAATGTCCGGAATATATGACCGTTTTGGAAGCCATGGTCAATACACCAATATTCATTACTCACCATGTATGTCATTAATTTTTTCAACACATCTTCATTTTCCATTATATAACCTTTAGAATCATCACCATCAGCAACATTGGTCAATATACACAATGTCTACAAGTATAAAGATTACCATTATAAACAATTGTCATCTCTAACAAGAGTGGATACACAGGCAGAAATATTGAATTAGTGTAACTGATTATGACTAAATTTTATAGGTCACAGGTCAAAATACATTTCATCAAAATTGAATTGTTGGTTTGCAATCTAACTTCAATTCATTTCAAATCTCTTTTTATTCACATCTATAATCATATAACAGATAACTCTAATCAAATAGTAGATCTTAAAGGGAAATTTATAAACTTACATTTTGCAATAAATGAACCACAGAGATGCGTCAAGGTTAAGTTATCTCCTCTAGATTGGCATGTACCCAATATGATGGGAGGGGGCACTTGTATCTATTTATGGTAAGAGTGACCAGCTACAATACCAGGTACCCCACATTAGTCCTTTATTTCATTAAAATGTAAACCTTATTATATACTTTTTGATAAACACAGACTTATCATATCATACCTAGAAGAGGACATAATTGGAAGAACTAAACAGATAAATAAATTTGACAAATATCAAATAAAGTATTGTTGTCTGACATGTTTACTGCATAAAAAAGATGATTATAGATTTTCAATGGTTTCAAATAGCAGAGAAACATCCTAAGAGTTTTGAAGACCATTGATAATCTGTTTTTTGCTGTTTTCATAGGCAACATCAATGACGTAGGCTCATGACTTCATACATTCTCTTTCTACACGACTGAGAAATTCCCATATCACTCAAGTAGCTAATTTGAAAAATTATCACAAAAAAAGATCAAATTAAATTTTTTGAAAATAGCAATAACAGGAATTACTTAAAATATTGGATAGTACAACAGATCACTCAAACTACCAACACACTACTCTTTCATAAAATATTTGAAAGATGTACAAACAAAGACAAATAACAATAAAACACACACAGTCAAGATAGCATGACCAGGTAAAGGTACAAAATGAAGTGGGCTAAACCAGTTTTAAGTACCAGTAAGGTCAAAAGGTATCAAGATCTGATTCTTTATGAATACTTATATGTGTATTGTAGTAAAGTAAATACTATAAACTTGTCGTATATCAAATAAGACTCATCAGTTATGCTTGAATCAAATCAGTAGGTAAGTCAACAACATAGTTAAGAGCATTGAAATCAAAAAAAATCCAAAACATAGTGCTAAATATTAAAAGGAGGAGGTATAATACTTGACTAGAAAGCAAGATGTTCAGCCTTTTACTTGCTAGTTTTCACATTATTTCTATAAATATTTGAAGAAATGGTTGTTATACTGTAAGGTCTGCCACCGTTAATACTCACTTGTTCTTTAATATCAGATGAATGATCTCCTTCCAATATAAAGACGACTGCCTGCATTATCTGTGTACCATACACACTCATTATACTGTCTATATGCTGTAGGTACAAAGTGGTTTATGTTTTATTGGATATAACAAGATATCTTGTATTATGTATTGGTGGATTCAACGTGATATCTTGATAGTATGAAAATAAAAAGATTAATTGATAGATTGTTGGTTGTTTAATGTCCTGTGGCAAATAAAATAAGAAGATGTGGTATGATTGCCAATGAGACAATTATCCACCACAGACCAAATGATGTAGACTTAAATTTAAATGAGCTGAGCATGTTCAGTTTCAACACAATAGTGTACATTTGTGGTCAGCACCTTAAGTAAAATATCTAGATTACTGTGGATTCATTTATTTTCGTGGATAACAATTTTCGTGGATTAAGGAAAACTTGCATGTTTGTGGATGTTTAATTCGTAGTTTTGCGAAAGTCTGCATACATGCCTATAGGAAATTGTCATTCGTTGAACATTTAATTTCGTGGTTCACCTTTACCCACGAAATCCACGAAAATTGGTATCCAATGAATAATAATGAATCCACAGTATGAGAAACAAGACCAAAACCAGGTCTGGATCTGTGTCCCTATATATAACTGACAGGGATCACCACAACCTATTTAAGCGTGGGGGTGCGCCACGCTAAAATTTCCAGCGCCACGTTTAAATTCCCAGCGCCATGCTTATTTTATTGTCCGCCACACTTGAAATTCAATAAATTGAAATTAAATTTCAAATATCCCTAATCCAATTATCATGGGAGTGGCAATTAAGAAATTTAATTATTGTTAATTGTTGTGAACATTGCCTCAAGGGATGTACACTGACAGCTGATTACGAGTATATTATTTACATGGTCTCACGTAGTTGAACAAGGTAACAACCAATGAACAATCATGACCCAGTTTCTTCAACTTGAAAAGTAAAAATTGTTTGCAAACTACAGGTATTTTATAAATGCATATGTTTGACTGTACCTTAAATGAAATGTTTATATTCTAACTACATTGATCAAAGCATTAATCCAGAAAACAAATGAATTCCCTGACCACATGGTCCTTTTGATGACAACCATGTCACATGATCTTTTTGGCGGGAAAATACTGGGGAAACCCTAAATAACAGACAAACAGTGTCTGAATATTTTTAGACAGTTCTATCTGGGATAGGAGTTTCATTATCTTAAAACTCATTTAAAGTAAGAAAAGAGTAAAACTGGATATATAATTCCTTTACATAATTGTACTGGAAAAGTAGGGAGTTAATTCAATAAAATTTTACAAAACAAATATGAATTTACAAACTGCTAGATAGGCTTAATTTGGTTGAAATGACTTTGAAATTCTGTGACTGAATTTATTTTTATAATAAATTCTTTATCTTTTTTACCATGTGGTTTTCCATAGGACAATTTAAATAAAATTTGTCAGAATATTCCTGCAATCTGGGAAATCACATCAGGTGTTTACTCTCCCTGTTTAATATGTTCCTACAAGCAGTACAAGTGTGGTGACCACTAATGATGTATGGGAGACCCCTTTCCACAATAGCTATATATATGACAAATACATGTAAGGCATATAATTAATAATTTATGCATAAGGAATCGATTCAACAACGCACCACAAAATCTCTGATTTGATGAACTTTCTCCCCCCACCCTTGATTTTCATTCTGTGGTGAACCCTGATTGATTGAGGTTGCATGTATACTGAAGCATAACTGATTATTCCCTTTCACTGAAGGCAAGAAAACTTTGACAAGAATTTTCCTTGTACAATGTTAGGTGTAAAATTTCAAACTACTCACTACAACTCAACATTATCAAGCTACAGGCCAAATATTAAATCATTCCCTCTCATAGAAGCCTTAGAAAAAATGGATAATTATTCTTGCACTTATCCATCCTATTCAAGAACTACTGCCAACTTATAGTTTTATCAAAATTTAATAGGGTACTTCAAATTCATGCAGGACAAAACAAGCAAAAAATGACTTACTGGTTTGCCTGATAATAGATTACGAATCAGACCTAATGTCTTCATCAGAATGTTTGGATCTGGATCTGACAAGAGCTTGAATAACTGTTCTGTTCCAATGGCCTCAATAATTTGTGACTTGACTTTTAATTCTGATTGAAAAGCCATATTCTACAAAAAAAAGTCCTAGAGTATTACTTTTATATTATTCTTGAATTTGTGTGCATTATTGGATTTGATTGGTTGGCTAATATTTTGTGTAAAATATCTAAATCAACTTGTACCATTATCTTGTAAATATTTGCTGTACATGATATATTTAATTGCATGTTTTCATATTGTGATAGATTTGTTTCGATTTTATCAAAATATGAACTTCCTTCATTTAAAATATTTTTCGATAAAAAAAAGATAAAGCATATTAGTATGATTTTTTTTTAAACTGGGGAATATACATATTATCAGAGATGTAAAATTTCATAATTATATAAGAATGGTTATACTATATTTAAGATGGTTCAATAAAATGAAAATTAGTATTGCTATAATGACAGAACATAACATATCCACCAATTTAGGATCCATGCCACTAGTGGAGCAGGAACTGCCTACCCTTCCAGAGCACCTGAGATCATCTCCAGTTTTTGATGGTGTACCTGTTGCTTCGTCTTTAGTTTTCTATGTTGTATTTGGTGTACTGTTGTTTGTCTTTTCAAGATTTTTGTTTTTTAAAATGGCATTGTTAGTTTGTCTTTGACTTTTGAGTTTAAAAATATCCCTTTGGTATCTTTCACATGTCTTCCACATTAACATTGGTACACTTGATGAATCCACAGTAACATTGGTACACTTGATGAATCCACAGTAACATTGGTACACTTGATGAATCCACAGTAACATTGGTACACTTGATGAATCCACAGTTACATTGGTACACTTGATGAATCCACAGTTACATTGGTACACTTGATGAATCCACAGTTACATTGGTACACTTAATGAATCCACAGTTACATTGGTACACTTGATGAATCCACAGTTACATTGGTACACTTAATGAATCCACAGTTACATTGGTACACTTGATGAATCCACAGTAATAAAATTAGAATAAACAAATTTCATGAAAAACATATAATCATGAGGAGATATGAATTTAAACACTTTACCATCAACCCCCAAATTCCATTTAGTCTAAGTTCAGATTCATTTCTTCCTGTCAGCGTTACCAGGATGCCAATTGCTCCAGTATCCAATATTGCCTAGAAAATAAACAGACAATTTCAATAACTTAAATGTCTCATTATCAAAATCAAACACAAATTAATTTGGCTTGATTTAAACATATTTCTTAATGCTGTATACGGTCTTAGTATATGTGCTGATCCATGTTTTTACCACTTTATAACAAGCAATTTTAGGGTCAATTGGGGATCATTTGAGATAGATAAAGTAGATGTACACCAACACACATCTTTATTTCTAATATCTAGTTTAGAAAAACTGTAGCACATTTGTCAATATTTTATGAACCATTTATCTTTATCTGTACCTTCAGGAAGTATTTTTCACTATCATATATATTCTTCTTATTTCAGGGATAAAAATCTACGATTCAATGTTTTCTTGCCAGAAATGATCACAATCACAGATTTTTTTGAATTTCTGTTGCAATAGAGTGTACTTTTCATTTACATCATTAAAAATTTGTCTTTATACAATAAAGCAATGACATCAAATCAAAAACAAGTTCAATATCCCTAATGCACCTCAAACTGAGGAACTCAGCTATAATTTGAAATAAAAAAAAAATCCTGTATGCAATGATATTGGACTTGATGCTATTGGTTGAGCTTAACCATTTGTGCTTTTTTGAAGATAGAAGACTATACAATAAAGATGTAAAAACTTGGGAGTTATTAAATGTTTGTAAAGAACTGAATATCCAGAAAATTTAACGGTGTAAATATGGGGACTTTTTACTTGCTGAAGCCACATCACATGGGTGTTTTCTGGGTTTTCCAATTTGCGAAAAATTTAATTTCACTTTGTACCCCTAAAATTTAACCACATCTGAGAAAATGTCTCCGCTTGGTAATGAGCCATCATACATATCCAAGTTTATGATATGGACAGAGGAATGGAATAAAAGGCTACCGTTGTCACCTTCCTGAAATGAATTGTGCATCTTGACCCAACTGGTCAACAGATCACAGTAAATTAATTTAACTTGACATTAAAGAAAGAAAATGTCCTGTGCCGGAATTATTTAAATCAAACAAGATTGATACACTATGGCCAAATATGAAAAAAAAATGATGAAGATATGTTAAAGGACCACTGCTACTCAAAAATGATAAACTAAAAATAGTGGATATGTTTGATGTAACACCATGACCATACATCTTACCAAATATGAATCAAAAACAAAATTACTATTATCATGAAAATAAATCACCTTTCTAGGGGTATTCACTTCTCTCCCTGGAGAAAATTCCAACAAAAGATTACACAATGTTGAGGATGTAATAACTAATAAATCTTCTGGTCCATTCTGTATCATCTGTAAAAAAAGTAGAAGCATAAAAGTATTTTCAGTTGTGAGTAGACTTACATCATGGTAGATTAACTTCAGAAGAATGGTTATAATCTAAAATATTTGAACATGTAAAAAAAAATGCATGGTCTTTTTGTCTCTGATTTCAAGCAGATTTCAATTTCTATTTTTGTCCTTCTACACAATTATATAATCTGAAATATTACATCACTAAATATCAAGGTGGTAAATAACACTACAGGGAGATAACTCTAAAAATCAGCTGAACGTTTTAATCACGTTCTATTGTTAAGGAAGTATTAAGCTTCTCAATGATAAAAATTAGTGTTTGTCAAACTGCTATATATCCAGTGAAATTTTTCAAATAAAGTGTTTGGTTCAAGTTTTTGGAAATTTTTATATTTTTGTCAAAGGGTCAAAATAAATATTTTGTCAAAATCTAATGAACATTAAACGAGCCAAATTAATTTTAGTCAAGGTGTTTGGTACCACCTTAAATCAGCATATCTCATAGTTTTTTTTCCAGCTGATATCGTCTAAAATAGATTATTTTGAAATTTTACAAGTGTATATGGATGATCTACCTTAAGATTAAAGTGAATTAATAATTTTAAATCACCTAAAACATTCTCAGTCTTTACTCACAATCTTATTAGACTTAAAGACCCTAAAAAAGGAGAAATATTTGTTATTCCTCACTGTATAGTATGTATATAATTACCACTGATCAAAGAAATTCAATAGTATCAGATGTAATCATTCATTTCTGAACATAATATGGTTTTGTGGGTGGGAAAAAGGATGTAGGTTATGCAGGACAATATTCCCAAGATATCCTGCCAAATAAACATAATTAAAAAAAAGGGTCTTTCTAGCACTGTTCATCCTGAGAGTTGATGCAGTGTATTAAACAATGAGCTAAAAAATTACACAATACAGCAACACCTGTCTTTATGACAGCCCCAGCGACTGAAATATATTCACTGCTAAGCACTACCTACATTCATTAATGGCTTCCAAACAACATGATCTTGGAAGGTTGTCCTTAGTTGTTGTACAGATCTAGAGAGACTATGGAGACATCTGACGGCTGCTGCTTTTACTTTGATATCCTCACTGTTCATTCCTGATATAATGTGATCCATCAAATTCTCTGTTTCAATTATCTATAAAACCAAAAACAATTCACATTGAATCTTCCAACTTAAAGGCTAAATAGGTAATAATATGAAAGAATCATTTCACTTTTCAGGGGTCACCACACCTAGGAAAGTGAGATATTATGACCCAAGGATTACTGACTTCGCTCTAAAAAAGCTTCAAGGAGAACTTTATGCCACCCTCAATTTTCAGTAAACTTTTAAAATGGCGCCTCATGATTTTTGAAATTTTTTCAATCCATACTTCATGACAACTATTAGCCAGAATCTATAGTGTGTAGTTATTGTTGAGAATCTTTAACAATTGACAATAATACGATAATAAAGACAACAACATCCATCAACAGTGTTCCAGCTTGTATCTCAGGGCAAAAGGGTACTAGTTGTCTGAAAGGGCACTTTAGTGCAATAACCCAGATGGTAAAGGCACTGTTGGACAGTGTATAAATTACCTTGAATATTGCTAGGCTCAACTGGAGGACATTTATTAAGTTGTATTTCAAGCACATTTAGAAATAATTGTGTTCTTAATATTGATTCCAGTAAGATTTTTTTTTTTATCAAATTTTCATACCATGATGCAAAGCATATCATTTTGATTTTCATCTAAACAAACTTGTACATTTGGTAAGGAAAATAATCATCAGAAATTTCAATGTTTTATTACTGCTACCAGTCTATAAAAATAAAGAAGAAGTTTAGAAAGATGGAGGTATACATGCAAACAAGATTTTCTAATGCATAAAATTATGTAAATTCAAATTACTTGTTCAAACTTAAAGTATATGTTATTGAAAGTTACTTTTTCTCATTTAAATTGTTACAAAAAAGTATTTTTTAAGTGCACACCAAAGTGCTCCTAAGTAAGGAGTTTTATAAATATAACAGGTGAGACAGGATATGATAATATTTTATTACTGCGTACATTGCAGAAAGTATTAACAGTTACTTTTTTTCTCCATAATTGTTATGAATAAAAGCATTTGTTAAGTGTTCCTATGTGAGGAGGATTATAAATACAAGAAGAAAAACAGGAAGTTGTGCAATTTTGTTTTTGTTCAAAATAGGAATTTCTTTTTAATTTCATACTCGGGGTTATGAAACAGTTCAGTTCAGTTCAGTTTCTTGTTTATTCCTCCATTAATTGTGGAGCACTACCCATAGGGTATAATTGTAGCAACTATGTACACCTTAGAACATAAGGAAGCATTTAATTATGTACAGATGACTGAATTTAGGCAATAATAATTACTAAAAATTAATATTATAACTAATTCATAGGATTGTCATCATGAATTTTTAAAAATAATATTCATAATGTGCTGAAGTGTAAGAATAAGTTAAGTAAGAACTGGATATATTTACAAATAAGAATTTAGAATTTAAGTGGTCTTAAATTAAACTTTCTTATAATTGTTAGTTAAAGGTGCTATACGTACATCAGAATTTATAATGAGAAGGTTATTTTATAGGACTTGTGTAAAAGGGTTGGGGTTTAGAACAATTCTTTCAAAACTTTCTTTAACCAATTTAGTCAAAGCTATGTATGCCTTTAAAATTGTTCAACATTTTAATTTTATTTAATGCCTACTTTTAAAAATAAAGTTTTGATGTTGTACATCCTGTACATAAACATTACAAATGGATAACATGTGGACATTTTCATTCTGCAATAAATATACCTAGTATTGTTCAATTATCTTAAATCACCTGATTAGTAGTAAACAATCATTCACAGAGGTGATAAAACTGCCAAAGGCAAGGTATTTAACTTATGCCATTGTCAGTTAATTAAAGTGTTACATTCAGGTAACAATTTTACTGGAAACGCCGTAGGGCATGTAATTTGGAAATTTTGTTTTTTGAAAAGGCAGAAGAGGGCATTTTTTGGCTTTGGAGGGCAGAAGGGCAGGGGTAAGGGCACCAAGTGTGGGCCGCCCTTCTATTTTGGGCAGACGGGGAACACTGATCAATTACCACCACTGGTCGACATGTATCGCCATCAAGTGTGGCGTCTTCAGGACAATATTACATATGAAATCAAACAGTGAAGTACAAATTTGGTGGTTCATGAGGTTCACTGGAAGTAATGTCAGTTCTGCCAACTTTTAATAATGCAAATGCGTGATATTTGGCCAAAATCGTAAAGATCAAAGAGAAATAAAATGCTCCGCCGGGCGCAGCTTGATACGACCGCAGAGGTCGAACCCTGAACAGTTGGGGCAAGTATGGACACAACATTCAAGCTTGATACAGCTCTGAATTTAGATTGTAATTAAATATTTGACACAGCATAGGTTTCTGACACAGAATGAATGTGGTCTAAGAAATTAAAATTTTTTAATTTACCTATTATGGTCCAATATCCAAAATCTAAATACATGGTTAGATTCAGCATATCAAAGAATCCAAAGTATTCAATTTTTGATGAAATCAAACAAAGTTTAATTTTGACTCTTTTGACCTCAATGTGGACCAATTTGATAACGGGGCCCAAAAATCAAAATACATGGTTAGATTCAGCATATCAAAGAACCCCATATATTCATTTTTTGTTGAAATCAAACAAAGTTTAATTTTGGACCCCAACTTGGACCAACTTGAAAACTGGACCCATAATCAAAAATCTAAACACATGTTTAGATTCAGCATATCAAAGAACCCCAAGAATTCAATTTTTGTTAAAATCAAACTAAGTTTAATTTTGGACCCTTTGGACCTTAATGTAGACCAATTTAAAAAACGGGACCCAAAATTAAAAATCTAAATACACGGTTAGATTTGGCATATCAAAGAACCCAAATAATTCAATTTTTGATGAAATAAAACTAAGTTTAATTTTGGACCCTTTTGACCTCAATATGAACCAATTTGATAGCGGGGCCCACAAATAAAAAATCTAAATACATGGTTAGATTCAGCATATCAAAGAACCCCATATATTCAATTTTTGTTGAAATCAAACAAAGTTTAATTTTGGACTCCAATTTGGACCAACTTGAAAACTGGGCCCGAAATCAAAAATCTAAATACATGTTTAGATTCAGCATATCAAAGAACCCCATATATTCAATTTTTGTTAAAATCAAACTAATTTTAATTTTGGACCCTTTGGACCTAAATGTAGACCAATTTGAAAACTGGACCCAAAATTAAAAATCTAAATATACGGTCAGATTTGGCATAACAAATAAATAAATATTGTCAAAGATTTTACAAATCTAATGCGCCATACTGTGCAATTAAAGATTACTTCTTGAAATTTGAAAAAAAAAAAAATATTTGAAGAATAATTCTTTTTAATTTCTGAAATCTGAAATGAGAAAAAATTGACCTCCCACAATTTCTTTTTACCCCCCCCTCAATTCTTTCCCTCGAGATATGGTCATAATCTCAATTCAAATTTCCAATGGAATTTGCAACCATAATTACCCATTTAAATTTACCATAGTACTAACTTAATTTATTTTATAATAGAATTTAAAATATGGTGTCAAATCTTTCATATGGATTTTTTTGTAAAAAAGATGCAACATTTGCAGATATTTTTACTGGTCTTCCTTTAAAAATATGCATTTCTTTAAACATAATTTAAAAGCAGTGTAAGGGAAGTAATCAAAGTGTTGTATGTGGATTACCTCCCTTACACTGTTTTAAATTGTCTTAATTGTTCATTAACCATTACTTTATACATAGTTTAAAAGCAGTGTAAGGGAGGTAATTTAAATGATGTATTTGATTTATCTCCCTTACACTGCTTTAAATTATGTTTTGTACTAAAGTATTTGTCCATATAAAAATGCTTGTTTTTTGCCCCTTTTATGGCCCCTAATTCCTAAAATTTTGAGGCAATTACCCCCAAAATCAATCCCAGCATTCCCTTTGTGATATGGAACCTTGTGGTACAATGTCAGAGAGATCCATACAATAACACGCAAGTTATGTCTGGAAGTTACAAAAATGCTTATTTTTGGCCCCTAATTCCTTAACTGTTGGTACCATAACCCCCAAAATCAATCCCAACCTTCCTTTTGTGGTATTGAACCTTATGTTAAAATTTCATAGAGATCCATTCACTTAAACTAAAGTTAGAGTGCGAAAACCAGTGTGTTTTCGGACGACGACGCCGGACGATGACGACGACGCCAACGTCATACCAATATACGATCGCAAAAATTTTTTTGCGGTCGTATAAAAACAATAGATCAAAGGAAAATGCCCCCAAATAAGCATGAAAATGCGTGAGACTTGGCAGCCCTGTAATGTTACAATAATGGTTGTTATGACGACGTTATAAACATAATAGAAAGTGAAAGTGAAATAAGAATTTAGTTTAGTTAAAAGTGAAAGTTTGTTAATAATGTTATTAACAATGTGGTTAGCTGCTATTCACACACATCTCAAGGATGTTTCTAGTTGTATTGTTGTAGAAATGATGAAAGTAGATAATAAAATGTCAGTTCATTTCCAAATCAGATAACACCTCACTGGTCATCCCGTACCAATTCAACTGGCTTTGCCCCGAGGGAGGTATCCACCCACTATTACCCAACCACACGATTACCACTTCAGGTGTTGGTTTACCATATATAAATTCAAATTTACAATAATGTAAGATTATCTAATGTGTCTCCTTGTTCATGTTGTAATATAACACTAATTTCAAAATTTATAGATCTATTAATCATAAATCTCTTTTAATGTATCAAAATTAGTAAAACCAATAATTATCATTATTACAGATTTTTATTGAAATTATAATTATGCCAATATTCACAATGAAAAGATGCTTAAAAAATGTGAGTTTAAGTAATTGTTATTGTCATCCTTTCCTTCTGCATTTCACAATATATTTTTATAAACAATAATTATCAATAAAATTATCTAATCCAGACAAACCTTTTTCCTGATATCCTCATCATTAGCTCCAAGGGAGGCAAATGCCCTGAAAGCTGCTTGCTTCAATTCATTGCTCCAATTAATGTCCTAAAATTTAAGATTTTAATGCATATAAAATTACATTATACTAGACCGTAGCCGTATTATATTAAGCTACATATTGCAATATTTCCTGAAATATTCAATACATAATGTGGTACATATAATTGCGAACTATTTTTTAATGTCCACCACTTTGATTGTTATTGAAATTACTTTTTCTTAAAAAAATAAAACATTGAAAACTGACAGTAATGTCTTTCTAATGCAAAATCATATTTAAATATCATTTTTATTGTTACCTGCTAAGTCAAGAATAGATCATATCATTTTACTAATGTTAAACTACTATTCCTATAAACTTTTAAAATATTTTCTTTTTTTTCCATTCAGCAAGGAGGTCTGATAATCTTTGGATACCACGTAGTTATTTCTCCACATTCATTGAATGAATTAAAATAAAAAATCTTGCATACCTTTTTGTGTGTAGTTCTAGAATTAATTTGTTGTACATCCGTATATCTAAGATATTCTGCCAGTGTTTTGATAATGTGGTCTGAGATTGCTGCTATGCCTTGTAGTTCTGGATCTTCTTCGATAAGATAGGCTAATGTTTCTGCTCCTTCTACATTCTCTTCTAATGTTCTGTCCTTTTTACACATCCTTATTACAGTTGGTAATGCCTAAAAAAAGATCCAAAAATGCTAGACATTATCTTTATTTAAGATTCTGTCACATTTTACTTAAGATTTTGCATAATTCAAATATTGAAGTCATACAACAATTATTTTTGCTTTGAGGCGTCATACATTTTTTTCCTCTGACATAAATTTTTTTTGAGAATATCTGTGAGGTCCAGTAATGAGGGACAAAGACTGCTATGGTGTGTTGTGAACCCATAAACTACTTTCAAATTCCACAAATTTTAAAAGCAATTTCATCACATGAAAGAAAAGAAAGACAAATACCATTTCATAGTATTCTTACATTTCTTCCAGTGTGAAAAATAAAATTTTCAGATGCAAAAAAACAAATCCATAGGAAATCATTCTTTCCGTCCAGCAAGTTACGGAAAAGCTAATACCAAATATATTGGATGAATATTTTATAAAATTCATACAAGAAGTCTTAAAGATATCTTGAATTACCTTAAACATAATAACATTACTAGATGGTTGTAATGCCCCTCCTCTACATAAGTATGTCAGACACCTTGCTGCTGCCATCTGCATTTCTGAAGTTTTATCTCTAGCCAATAACTTTACAAGTAATGATGGAATAGATTCCCCATTGTAGGTTGCTACAAAACAATCAAAGTCGATATACAATACACATAGATACCAAAATGATGATGGATACATTGATACTGAAAATCCATGGAAAAACTTGATGACAAATTAATATCATTAGGAAATACTGCTGTATAAAACTGACACCTTTAGTGAGCTTTTTGTATACTTGGAGTGGTATTAACTTAATCACACACTTACATTTAAGAATATAGTTAAAAAAAATAAATGTAATACATGCATGTTTGACTAAAAACGTCATAAAGGTTAGATTTTATTTTTTTTGGGAATTTGTAATTAGCTTCAATTTGTATTGTAACAGGGACTTTCTATACTAACAGGACTCGTCTCTATTGATTTTAATTAAATAACTACGCCTCCCATGTAAAGCTACCACCCAACAAAAAACTTAGTTTCGTATCTCTGATATACGAAGCTAGTAGTTATTTGCGTATTTCAAAGTACATTGTAATTTAATAATTTTTAATATAAAATCTGATTAATAGCCATTTATCATGACAAAAAAATATAAGATTTTAAAAGAATGTTAAATTATTAAACTGAGACATATCGTTTTGAAGAACACTCCAGTTGTGCAAAAGGGGTTACATATTGAACAAGATGGCGGCCACTCGAAATTTACTAACAAAATACCTCAAAGTTCAAAGGTCTACATTTTAAAAACTCTCCGAAAAATCTTTTCAAAAACAGCATTTTGCAATGACAAAATGTATAAAATTTCATAAAAATGTTACTTCATTAAACTTGAACTTATAGTTATGAAGAACACTTCGTAAATGTGAAATGATTTGCCATGAAGTCATGTGACATCCGAGACGGCACAGTTCTGTCTGCAAATTTGTATAAACTTTGTTATAAGTGACCAGTCCCGTTAGTATAGACTGTCCCTGATTGTATTAACTTTTCTGAATACATATTGGAAAAAATAGTTTTGGTCTATTCCAATTGATTAGGCCCAGCATATCTCATTACATTTTTCTCACTGCGATTGGTCAAGGTTGCCCATTTCATAATAATCTTATGGAATGGATTTACACTTTTTGAGATATTGACACAATTATAATTTTAATAAATTGCTTTGCCAAGCACAGCTGGATACGAGTGCAGAGGTCCTACCCTGAACAGTTTGGGCAAAAGTGGACACAATATTCGCGCTTGATACAGGTCTGAATTTGGATTGTAATTAAATATTTGACACATAATAGGTTTCTGACACAGAATAACTGTAGTCAAAGAACTTAGAATTGGTTATATGATTTGAATTTATATTCAAATTTTTGCTTTTGTGCAATACACTATGCTGTTGCAAATTGACCCCCCCCCCAAAAAAAAAATTAATTTACCCCCCCCCCCCCCCTTTATTTTAAAAAAAAATATTTGAAGAAATTTTCTTTTTAATTTCTGAAATCTGAAATGAGAAAAAATTGACCCCCCCTCACAATTTCTTTTTTACCATGTTTACCCCCTCCCCAATTTTTTTTCACCTTTCCCCCCCCTTTTCCAAAAAAAATTCTTTCCCTCAAGATATGGTCATAATCTCAATTCAAATTTCCAATGGAGTTTGCAACCATAATTACCCATTTAAATACATCATAAAAGTTTTAAAATGGAAAATGACATACATAATCATGGCTAAAATTAATATATTAAATATTCCTTAATCAGCATTTTTAAATAGTAACTTCTAAAAATCAAAGCACTGTAAGCGCTGTAGGCAGTTAACTAAAAACCAAGGCAAACGTAATTATGAAAACTGTGGCAGTGTTGCTTCAATTTTTTTTTAAGATTTGAAAGAACAAACATTAAACATTCGTATATTGTACATTTATGTTCATTAAATGAATTGATTATTAAGGCAAATTAATTAATGTTTCATCAAAAGCAACTCATATATCAATATAAATAACCCCCCATCTTCACCCCCATATGCATGATGTTACTCCATACCAAGTTTGGAATAAAATGACAGGTGATTATAAAACAGTTGGTCAAACATTCTCGGGCTTTACACTGCTTGAAAGATTTATATGTTTTCTTTAAAATGAGCCATAAATGAAAATTATTATAGGCCCAGAAATAATTTAATAAATAATTAAAGTAAATTCAATTAACCTACACTTATTTTTTGCATCAATAAAATTTTATAATAAACAAGAAATAATTGTAACAGGATGCCGTTACGAAGTCTCCCAAAAAAAGCCACCATAATTCGTCATTCCCATGGTCTCCTGACATTGGGCAAAGTCCAGTTCATATTGGTTTGGTCTAGTAAAGTTATATGCACATGTGACACCTAGGAGTTTAACCCTGTATGTCATTCAAATCTTTTTGAAATGATGAACAGGAATAAATATGGTTTAGGGGTGGTGATCTCGACCGTTTACAAGATAAAAGCACATTCTCATATTGAAGGGGGGGTGTGATCCCCAGGGGACTTGCCCTTTATTTCATATGATTTGTTTTTTTGTCCCATACAAGAATATATATGGTTTAGGGGTGGGGATCTCGACCGTTTACAAGTTCTTAAACAGGTGGGGGGTGGTGGTGACCCCAGGGGACTCGCCTTTTATTTCATTTGATTTGTTTTATTGTCCCATACAAGAATATATATGGTTTAGGGGTGGGGATCTTGACCGTTTACAAGTTTTCAAAAAGAAGGGGGGTGGGGGTTACCCCAGGGGATTTCCCTCAAATTTCATTTGATTTGTTTTATTGTCCCATACAAGAATATATATGGTTTAGGGGTGGGGATCGCGACCATTTACAAGATAAAAGTACATTTACAAATTGAAGGGGGTTGGGATGACCCCCAGGGACTCATCCTATATTTTGGTTGATTTTTTTTATTGTCCTGTTCTCATCACTGAAGACTGCATGTGTCTATCACTTACTGTTTTCGAAAAAAGTCATTTGAAAATTTAAAAAATAAAATCCCATAGGGTTCTATAGTAAACCCCTCCCTTCTTCAGGCCCCTCCAAATACCCCTAAATAGACCCCAATGCACAAACAAAAGATTAATGGCTCCGCTAGACATGTTAGACAAATATTTTATGAAACCCTAAGTAAATCTGACAAACGGTCAAAGTTGTCTTCTTAGACAGTTTGAGTGGATTCAGTCTGACTTGTCTCGGGGACGAGTTGTCCACATTACTTAAAACATCCCATCAACGTCGATTTCCGCATCTGTTTCATGACCTCGTTTCATTCATAAAATAACAACAACCTTATTTGGCAAGATAAGTTAAAAATTACCGCCCACTTATATAACTTTATTTCCTCTATCATAGAGATTTGTTGTACATGAACAATATTCCTGCGCATTTTGCCATTTGGTAAATATAAACGACTTGTAATTACCAATTTTCGGCGATGAAATATTTCATACAATTGTTCTTTGACATCGTAGCCAAAAGCACAGGGGATAATAAACTACGTACGGATTTCTATTGAGCACTACTTCCTATGTGCAACTTCAAAAGTTTTGGGTAGTACGACGATCATTTAAGGTTTTTCTGGTCATATTTTTTGTATTCCAGAAATAAAAGTATTAAAAAAATGTCCAATTAGTTATAAATATCATAATAGCCAGCTAGATAATAACAATGGCACGTATTTCAGCATTTATTGGGTAGAACACAAACCTAGGGTGCTCATATAAGGCAGCTTAACTGCCTAATAAATTGACAGCTAATCACCTCAAGACAATACAACATTACTTTATACATAATTTAAAAGCAGTGTAAGGGAGGTAATCCAAACTAAACATTGTACTTTTTTTTAATTGTCCATTAACCAGGAAACCCTTGTTTCTCTCCCTTTTTTGCCCCTAACTCCTAAACGGTTTGAGCCATAACACCCCAAAGCCAATCCTAACCATCCCTTTGTGGTATGAAAACTTGTGGTATAATTTCAGAGAGATCCATACACCGTTCCACAAGTTATTGTCTGCAAACTAGAAAAATGCTTATTTGGGCCCCTTTTTGGCCCCTAATTCCTTAACTGTTAGGACTATAACCCCTAAAATCAATCCCAACCTTCCTTTTGTGGTTATAAATCTTGTGTTTAAATTTCATAGATTTCTATTTATATTTACTAAAGTATCTGGAAACCAAATGTCTCCGGACGACGCTGATAACGATGACGACATGATTCCAATATACGACCACAACATTTTTTGCGGTCGTAAAAAAACTGATCTGACTTCAATACCTGTAGCAGTTGCCTTGGCAACATCTTCATTCTGGTAACATAACACAGCTATTGACTTAAGTGTTGGCATTTGTACCTGTTAAATATCCAATTCAAAATTAAACATTTGTTAATACATATAGCCAACTATTAAATTTAGTTTGCTGTTATATGAGGTCAAATAATCAAAACTGGGCCCACCACAAAAAATATCAGAAATCTTGAAATTTGAAAATTATCAAAGATACTCATCTTCTGAGTTAATACAAACAATTTATACTTTAAACTTGTAAAAGCCAAGTAAAAAAAGTCATTTTACATACGAAAGATGTGCCTTTTGCATTTTACTGTTAAACCTAGCTTGTATTTTCAAAAACCTTTCAACTTTATAACATAGAGATAACCTTGAAATTATTCAGCTATTAGAAGGTACAGTACATTTGCATAGATTTTTGGAAATTTATTAAGTTCTTTTGTTGTTGTGTGTTAATAAACAAAAAATTGCATCCCCAAAAATTATCAGCCATACAGTAATATGTACATGTATCCTGGTGTAGTATTAATGGTTGATTGCATAACTTACCGGTATGACATTTTAAGTGAATGGTAGATTTTTAGTCAATCTACGGAAATTTTTGTAATTTTAGATTGAAATATAGATGATTAGGTGATTTTATAAGCAGAGGTGCATTGAAAGACAAATAAAATATTCACAGGCATCAGGCATTATATTTTAAATCAATTCAATATAATAAATTTTTAGAAGAACAAGAGAATAAATGGTAATAATGTCTTATATAAAACAAATGAGTATTTTTTTTTAAACCAGACTATCTATCAAATGAAGTGTTCATCAATACAATTTCTGTGCAATGAAAAAAAAATAGATTAGCTTTGTTATAAACCTCCATTTTCAACTTACTTTATAAATGGTTGAGGTAAGTAGAGGAGCAAGAGTAGCTAAAGCTCCATTCATACATAACTTCTCTTGATGTTCTTTTGTCTGAAAATAAAAGATAAACATGGTGGAGGACCTGCTGACTTTGAATTTATTGAAATGTCAAAAAATCATACCATCTATTTGTTCATCTGTGATCAGTGATGCTTAATACAAAAATTTATGATAAAAGAGATGATTTTTCATTTCCTATTGTTAATTATCCATTTTTAGATGGTGACGTTCCCTTGTCACCATCTTACGGTGTTTATATATCTCAACTTGTACGATTCGCTCGTGTATGTAACAACGTATTAGATTTTAGCGAGAGAAATTTATGTATTACTGAAAAATTATTACACCAGGGTTTTCGATATCATAAACTAGTCAAAACATTTACTAAATTTTATCATCGGTATAAGGACATCATTCGTAAATATAACTCAACATGCAGACATCTTATACGTTCAGGTATTTCACATCCAATCTTTTATGGTAATTTTCTTTACAAAGCACAAAAATGTCAGTATTCACCTCGAAAGCTAACAAAACCTTTAAACAGACTTATTAAGAAGGGATATAGTTATGATACTGTTGTCAGGTCATTAAAGATTGCATATTTTGGCTTTAATATTGATTCACTTATAGGGTCTTTGCATCGGAATTAAACATACTTATTCTAAAACCAGTTGTTGGCATGACACGGGTTATGTTCTTCTCATATATTTTATGATGGTATAATACTAAACCCCTAACAGGAGGGATTGTGCCTGATATTCATATGATAAAGACATAATCTTTCAATCAGTTTAAGTGAGGTCTGGAGCTGGCATGTCAGTAACTGCTAGTAGTCTGTTGTTATTTATGTATTATTGTCATTTTGTTTATTTTCTTTTGTTTCCTTTTCTGACATCGGACTCAGACTTCTCTTAAACTGAGTTTTACTGTGCGTACTGTTGTGCGTTTGTTTTTTCTTCATTGGCTAGAGGTATAGGGGGAGGGTTGAGATCTCAAAAAACATGTTTAACCCCACCCCGTGTATAATTTGGAGTTTAGTATGGCGTCCATTATCACTGAACTAGTATACATATTTATTAAGGGGCCAGCTGAAGGACGCCTCCGGGTGCGGTAGTTTCTCGCTGCATTGAAGACCCATTGGTGGCCTTCGGCTGTTGTCTGCTCTATGGTTGGGTTGTTGTCTCTTTGACACATTCCCCATTTCCATTCTCAATTTTATTGACAATTTTGATGACTTTTGTAATTCTAAAACTGCATATACATAAAAACAAGACTTATAAAAGACTGAAGTTAGTAGAAAATCTCACAAATCAGTGAAAATACAACAGTACACAATAGATAGGTTTCGATTGACACAATTTGAGCAAGAGTTACTACCAGTTTGTTGCCAAGTTGGAGGTCTAAGTGTACAAATTCCTTCATAAATCAGCCAAATTCAACATGTTATAATGACCACTGTACTTTAGAAAAAGGGTTTCTCTGAACAATTTTTCATTTCTTTTAGCCTTGCTTAATTCATCACTATGATCTAGTAAAAGTCTCTTATCAGGCATGTGTGTATTGCATGCTTCAATTCTGTTAGTAAAATAAGAAAATCAACCCTTAAAAATGGAAGCCAAGGTAAATAACTTAAACTCTAATTACGTCATTTGAAAACCTATGTATAGCATATGTTATCTTCAAATAAACACATTTCTATATAAATCAATTCTTGACCATAATTTTCAGATGTAATAACAGAAACTTAAATATATATCTTAGCTTTAATATTTGATACATGTATGCATTTTCAATAAGTAAAAGAAAACTTTTGACAAATAGAATTGTCTTCCCTTTTAAGCACTTTTGAGTTCGGAAGTGGGGATCTAAATGTGATATACTTACATTACAACATCTAGAGAACAATGTAGTTATACATTCCTGTGTACATAGTGACTTTGATATTATGTTGATCATGTGTGGAATTACTGTTTTATTCTGAAAAAAACCCAAAGATTATATTTCACTGTATTCTTTTGATCAATTGGAAAAGGCATACCAGTACTATGTACCCCCCCAAAAAAAAATAAGTATTGTGTATAAGTCTCATAACATTTGGTTGTGGCTAACTTAAGTTAAAGAACAGAAACTAAAAATTCAGCAATTTTTCCATTTGTAAACAGGCATAACTCTAGAACAGTATAGGTGACACCACCAAAATTTAAACTTGATCTGTATTTTGTGGTAATAAGCATTGTGTAAAAGTTTCATAACATTTGGTTGAGACAAACTAAAGTTAGAGAATGGAAACGAAAAATTCAGAAATTTTTATGTTTATAAAGGGACATAACTCAAGAAAGATAAACGTGACGCCACCCAATTTCGAACTTGATCTGTATTATGTGGTAATAAGCATTGTGTATAAGTTTCATAACATTTGGTTGAGGCAAGCTAAAGTTACAGAATGGAAACGAAAAATTCAGCAATTTTTATGTTTATAAAGGGGCATAACTCAAGAACGGTTAAAGTGACACCACTCAATTTCATACTTGATCTGTATTATGTGGTAATAAGCATTGTGTATAAGTTTCATAACATTTGGTTGAGGCAAACTAATGTTAGAGAACGGAAATGAAAAATTCAGCAATTTTTCCATTTGTAAAGGGGCATAACTCTAGAATGGTTACAGTGACGCCACCAAAATTCAAACTTGATCTGTGTTTTGTGGTAATAAACTGTTAACACAGAGATATGTCTCGCCTATTTGTTATTTTGATAATGCAAATGTTGAAATTAAAATAGCAATACTTTAACATGTAAGTTATGCAAATATTCAAAGTCAATGAACCATGACTGAAGGTACCGGGCTAAACAATCTCCATGGAAATGAGATGTGCCAATGCTAATACAACTGCAAACCAAATACCATTGACTTTTCATAAGTCGTTCCCTTTAAACAAACCTAAACACAAACATTAACTTGTAAACTATGTAAAAGTTTCAAAGTCAATGAACCATAATTAGGGGTGGGGTTATATAATCTCCATGGAAATGAAACTTGCAAATGCTTATACATTTTCATACCGAATATCATTGACTTAACATTAGTGGTTCATCTTGAACTGACCTAATCACAAACCAATACATGTAAACTAAGCAAAAGTTTCAAAGTCAATAGACCATGACTGAGGGGTAAGGACCAAATATTTTCCATGGAAATGAGATGTGCTAATGCTTATACAACTGCATACCAATTATCATTGACCTACCACTAACAGTTACCCTTAAACTTACCTAATCACAAACTAATACATGAAAACTAAGCAAAAGTTTCAAAGTCAATAGACCATGTATGAGGGGGCAGGGCCAAATAATCTCCATGGAAATGAGATATGCCAATGCTTATACAACTACATACCAAATATCATTGACCTATCACTAGTGGTTCCCCATAAACTGACCTAATCACAAACTAATACATGTAAACTAAGCAAAGTTTCAAAGTCAATAGACCTTGACTGAGGGGGCAGGGCTAAATAATCTCCATGGTAATGAGATGTGCCAATGTTAATACAATTGCATACCAAATATCATTGACCTACCACTAGTGGTTCCCCATAAACTGACCTAATCACAAACTAATACATGTAAACTAAGAAAAGTTTCAAAGTCAATAGACCTTGACTGAGGGGGCGGGGCCAAATAATCTCCATGGTAATGATATTTTCCAATGCTAATACAACTGCATACGAAATATCATTGACCTACCACTAGTGGTTCACCATGAACTAGACCTAATCACAAACTAATACATTGTTGACGCCGCCGCCGTCGCCGGAAACAGCATACCTATGTCTCTCTTTTTGACTCCGTCAAGGCGAGACAAAAACATTGTGTATAAGTTTCATAACATTTGGTTGAGGCAAGCTAAAGTTACAGAATGGAAACGAAAAATTCAGCAATTTTTATGTTTATAAAGGGGCATAACTCAAGAACGGTTAAAGTGACACCACTCAATTTCATACTTGATCTGTATTATGTGGTAATAAGCATTGTGTATAAGTTTCATAACATTTGGTTGAGGCAAACTAATGTTAGAGAACGGAAATGAAAAATTCAGCAATTTTTCCATTTGTAAAGGGGCATAACTCTAGAATGGTTACAGTGACACCACCAAAATTCAAACTTGATCTGTGTTTTGTGGTAATAAACTGTTAACACAGAGATATGTCTCGCCTATTTGTTATTTTGATAATGCAAATGTTGAAATTAAAATAGCAATACTTTAACATGTAAGTTATGCAAATATTCAAAGTCAATGAACCATGACTGAAGGTACCGGGCTAAACAATCTCCATGGAAATGAGATGTGCCAATGCTAATACAACTGCAAACCAAATACCATTGACTTTTCATAAGTCGTTCCCTTTAAACAAACCTAAACACAAACATTAACTTGTAAACTATGTAAAAGTTTCAAAGTCAATGAACCATAATTAGGGGTGGGGTTATATAATCTCCATGGAAATGAAACTTGCAAATGCTAATACATTTTCATACCGAATATCATTGACTTAACATTAGTGGTTCATCTTGAACTGACCTAATCACAAACCAATACATGTAAACTAAGCAAAAGTTTCAAAGTCAATAGACCATGACTGAGGGGTAAGGACCAAATATTTTCCATGGAAATGAGATGTGCTAATGCTTATACAACTGCATACCAATTATCATTGACCTACCACTAACAGTTACCCTTAAACTTACCTAATCACAAACTAATACATGAAAACTAAGCAAAAGTTTCAAAGTCAATAGACCATGTATGAGGGGGCAGGGCCAAATAATCTCCATGGAAATGAGATATGCCAATGCTTATACAACTACATACCAAATATCATTGACCTATCACTAGTGGTTCCCCATAAACTGACCTAATCACAAACTAATACATGTAAACTAAGCAAAGTTTCAAAGTCAATAGACCTTGACTGAGGGGGCAGGGCTAAATAATCTCCATGGTAATGAGATGTGCCAATGTTAATACAATTGCATACCAAATATCATTGACCTACCACTAGTGGTTCCCCATAAACTGACCTAATCACAAACTAATACATGTAAACTAAGAAAAGTTTCAAAGTCAATAGACCTTGACTGAGGGGGCGGGGCCAAATAATCTCCATGGTAATGATATTTTCCAATGCTAATACAACTGCATACGAAATATCATTGACCTACCACTAGTGGTTCACCATGAACTAGACCTAATCACAAACTAATACATTGTTGACGCCGCCGCCGTCGCCGGAAACAGCATACCTATGTCTCTCTTTTTGACTCCGTCAAGGCGAGACAAAAACATTGTGTATAAGTTTCATAACATTTGGTTGAGGCAAGCTAAAGTTACAGAATGGAAACGAAAAATTCAGCAATTTTTATGTTTATAAAGGGGCATAACTCAAGAACGGTTAAAGTGACACCACTCAATTTCATACTTGATCTGTATTATGTGGTAATAAGCATTGTGTATAAGTTTCATAACATTTGGTTGAGGCAAACTAATGTTAGAGAACGGAAATGAAAAATTCAGCAGTTTTTCCATTTGTAAAGGGGCATAACTCTAGAATGGTTACAGTGACACCACCAAAATTCAAACTTGATCTGTGTTTTGTGGTAATAAACTGTTAACACAGAGATATGTCTCGCCTATTTGTTATTTTGATAATGCAAATGTTGAAATTAAAATAGCAATACTTTAACATGTAAGTTATGCAAATATTCAAAGTCAATGAACCATGACTGAAGGTACCGGGCTAAACAATCTCCATGGAAATGAGATGTGCCAATGCTAATACAACTGCAAACCAAATACCATTGACTTTTCATAAGTCGTTCCCTTTAAACAAACCTAAACACAAACATTAACTTGTAAACTATGTAAAAGTTTCAAAGTCAATGAACCATAATTAGGGGTGGGGTTATATAATCTCCATGGAAATGAAACTTGCAAATGCTAATACATTTTCATACCGAATATCATTGACTTAACATTAGTGGTTCATCTTGAACTGACCTAATCACAAACCAATACATGTAAACTAAGCAAAAGTTTCAAAGTCAATAGACCATGACTGAGGGGTAAGGACCAAATATTTTCCATGGAAATGAGATGTGCTAATGCTTATACAACTGCATACCAATTATCATTGACCTACCACTAACAGTTACCCTTAAACTTACCTAATCACAAACTAATACATGAAAACTAAGCAAAAGTTTCAAAGTCAATAGACCATGTATGAGGGGGCAGGGCCAAATAATCTCCATGGAAATGAGATATGCCAATGCTTATACAACTACATACCAAATATCATTGACCTATCACTAGTGGTTCCCCATAAACTGACCTAATCACAAACTAATACATGTAAACTAAGCAAAGTTTCAAAGTCAATAGACCTTGACTGAGGGGGCAGGGCTAAATAATCTCCATGGTAATGAGATGTGCCAATGTTAATACAATTGCATACCAAATATCATTGACCTACCACTAGTGGTTCCCCATAAACTGACCTAATCACAAACTAATACATGTAAACTAAGAAAAGTTTCAAAGTCAATAGACCTTGACTGAGGGGGCGGGGCCAAATAATCTCCATGGTAATGATATTTTCCAATGCTAATACAACTGCATACGAAATATCATTGACCTACCACTAGTGGTTCACCATGAACTAGACCTAATCACAAACTAATACATTGTTGACGCCGCCGCCGTCGCCGGAAACAGCATACCTATGTCTCTCTTTTTGACTCCGTCAAGGCGAGACAAAAACATTGTGTATAAGTTTCATAACATTTGGTTGAGGCAAAATAAAGTTAGAGAACGGAAACCAACTTTGGGACGTACGGACGGACGTACGTACAGATGGACAAGGGTAAAACTTAATGCCCCTTCCGCTACGGCGGGGGCATAAAAAACAAAACAACAGCAAACAAAATTTGCTTCATCATACAACATTTTGTAGATTACCTTCACCAAAGGTGCTGAGTTTTTATTTTCTCCTCTTACTTCTGCATTACATTAGATGTACACCCATTCCTGTACTGGTGTATAAAGGTCACCCTCGGGATCAAAGAATAGTGGCCTTATAAGAGAGATGACCTTTGAATTGAGATTCAAAATGCACATCTATTACCACAGCGGGACAAAAAGAGTGTGATCTGACAAGACAGGGTTTTGTTAAATAGAGGTGACTATTTTGCAAGTTTGACTGTACACATTTTTTATTAGAAAATAATCCGGTAACATGACAGGTGACATTTTTTTTTACATGATGATAATCTACAATAAAATGCTCCGCTGGGCGCAGCTTGATTCGACCGCAGAGGTCGAACCCTGAACAGTTGGGGCAAGTATGGACACAACATTCAAGCTTGATACAGTACTGAATTTGGATTGTGATTAAATATTTGACACAGCATAGGTTTCTGACACAGAATGAATGTGGTCTAAGAACTTAAAATTTTTTAATTTACCTATTCAAACCATATCATTATTATTTGCTTTTATATATAAATCAGAAATAACCAATTGAAAATGGAAAATTTTAAAGAAAACAAAAGGAAAAAAAAATCCCTCCCCCAAATTTTATGAACCCCCTTATGATTCATCACCCCCAAACTCAATCCCAGCCTTCCCTTCGTGGTATGGTACCTTGCAGTACAATTTCAGAGAGATCCATACACTTGAACACAAGTTATTGTCTGGAAACTAGAAAAATGCTTGTTTTTGGCCCCTTTTTGGCCCCAAATTCCTAAACATTTAGGGCAAATACCCCCAAACTCAAACACAGCTTTCCCTTTGTGATATGGAACCTTGTAGTACAATTTCATAAAGATCCATACACTTACACACAAGTTACTGTCCTGAAACTAGAAAAATGCTTGTTTTTTGCCTCTTTTTTTGCCCCTAAATCCTAAAATTTTGAGGCAATTACTCCCAAAATCAATCCCAGCCTTCCCTTTATGGTATGGTACCTTGCAGTACAATTTCAGAGAGATCCATACACTTGAACACAAGTTATTGACTGGAAACTAGAAAAATGCTTATTTTTGGCCCCTTATTCCTAAACGTTTTGGGCAATTACCCCAAAACTCAAACCCAGCTTTCCCTTTGTGATATGGAACCTTGAAGTGCAATTTCAGAATGATCCATACACTAACACACAAGTTATTATAATGAAACTAGAAAAATGCTTGTTTTTGGCCCCTTTTTAGGCCCCTAATTCCTAAAATTTTGAGGCAATTATCCCCAAAATCAATCCCAGCATTCCCTTTGTGATATGGAACCTTGTGGTACAATGTCAGAGAGATCCATACACTAACACACAAGTTATGTCTGGAAGTTACAAAAATGCTTATTTTGGGCCCCTTTTTGGCCCCTAATTCCTTAACTGTTGGTACCATAACCCCCAAAATCAATCCCAACCTTCCTTTTGTGGTATTGAACCTTATGGTAAAATTTCATAGAGATCCATTCACTTAAACTAAAGTTAGAGAGCGAAAAACCCATATGTCTTCGGACGACGGAGATGCCAACGCCAACAACGTCATACCAATATACGACCGCAAATTTTTTAGCGGTCGTATAAAAACCATCCAAAGAACAACCAAAAATTTATGTTTCCATGTCATTAATTTAAAAATGTAAAATCTGAGAAGATCCAAACATACTTACCTCATAAATAAGATGGACTGGTGGATCATTCATCAAAAATAAGGTTTTCAAACATCTCAAACAAGCTTCAACAAATTTAATATTATTGTTGGTAATACCTGTCAAATAGATAAATACAATCAGACAAAACATACAATTAATTATGGCTGTAATGTTGATAAAACATGACCACTCATAACTGGTTTTTTTTAATTTTAAGGTCTGTAATCAAATAGGACATAGTTCTTTGCACACATTACAACAAAAGTTACTGATAATGGATCTGTTATCACCTATCTCAAAATTATTTCATTCCAAAAATTACTAAAAAGGCCAGTATTGTCTGTGTTTTCGAATAATTAAAAAGAAAAGAGCCAAGGACCAGCACTTTACTGCTGCTTCCCTTCTCTAAGTCACAATGAGGCCTTTAAAACGGAACAAAAGTTCACAACACAACTAAGTCTTTTTTATCCTTTGTCAATAAGATCACACATACTTGATCTTAATTATTTTTTTTTTCACTTGGAACACAACATACACATTTTCTTACCCATTAACAATACATTAACAGATCCTGCATTGACTAAAGTTTGTAGTTCCTCTTCTGACCCTTTGGCTAGACTTCCTAACACTATGGCTGCTTCTGTTCTAAGTTCTATGGGAATACCATCATCTATCATCCATTGTAGTAACCTGATAATATGTCATGATATTTATTCCTCTTTTTGTCAGTATGAGATAAGCGTTAAAACAGCTGGTAAAGCAATTTTAATACTATACATTACTGTCTTTTGATGAGGTAAATGTGTGGTTTTATTGACTTTTGAAAAACTGATATTCACTGAGGCCAACGGCCGAAGTGAATGTCACTAAGTTTTATTCCATGTTCCGAGCGAGAAAAATATGTATAAAATAACAGTTATTTACCAAAACCAACTAAACGTCAAACATTGTATCGTTATTATACACGTAAAAGCACACGACGTTTTGCGCGGTGAATATACTTTTTCCGCAGGTGAATATGCTTATTTATTCAAAATCCCATTCATATAGAAAAACCTACTAAAGTTCTATCAATATGGAATAATTTAATTCATTTTTATAATATTTTTTTTAACCGGTATTTCATTTCGTTTTGGGAATTTTTATTTGTTTTTAATATTTCCTATTTTGATACTTGAATTATTTGTAAGAGTTAGCATTCAAAATTATGGGACACAAAGGAAAGGGATTTTATTTATATTATATTTGAGGTTTCTAAGTGGCTAATCAATAGATTAATTTCAAGTCAAAGTGAATTTTATGTTAAAAGTCTTTAAGATAAAGGTTTTATTACAGGTATCACATTAGCTTAACATTATCATTAATCCATGAAAATGAGGTCTTGGTCAAATAAACCAAACCAGATGGACAAGTTTACCTTACAATCATTCCATATACCAAATATAGTTGACATATTGCCTATAGTACCTGAAAAAAAAACCCAAACCTAATCAAGAAAACTTAGCATTGACAAATGAACCAGGAAAATGAGGGCATATGGACATGTTCACCTTACAATCATTCCATACACCATATAACAGTTGAACTTTGCATACAATACATGTATCTCATTCTGAGCTTTTATCACAAAAAACTAAACGTTGACCACTGAACCATGAGAATGAGGTCAAAGTCAAATATTGTTTATCTTACAATATTGTACTTGTTAAAAAACCAAGAAGCGTTGTTACAATTCCTTGCATGATCAACATTTATATATTTAGTAGACCATATGCTTATCGTTCATGAAAAAGCAGCCCTTATCATCCCTATATAAAAATATTCTTCTTCATTCTTCAAAGGCGAGACAACAATGTACATGATGTATTTTGCTTACATACACACAATCTGAGAAATATTGAAATGGTCTTTGTTACCTTTGTAGTAGAAACATTTACTTTTTAGTTCGTCATTCACAATTATTCAAGTGTCTAAAAATGAAAGCCATCAACTGAAATATCACATACCTAGGTATAATTCCTTGTTGGACAGCTAAATTCTTGTGTTTATTGTTGCCAATCACAGAATTCTTCACATTTCTGTTGAAAAAAATAAACAAATCTGATAAAATACATGTAGGAGAATTCTTGCAGTTGTTCCTACCTGATTAAGAGATTGTTAAAAATCTTTTTACCCCCTCCCCCTATAAAAATATCTTGGCTTTTTCACATACACCAGGTAATTTTAAATTTCTTAAGGATCAGATCTTGAAAGGCTGAATTAACACATTGACATATAAAGTCCTATTTTGTGGCCATTATCAGTGCATAAATTACCCCCGGTATAAATCATTTCCACAAAAGGTATTTAAATTTTCATCAGGAAACTTAAACACTGTTTAAGATAATCTAATATAACCCCAGGAATAGATTACCTTAGCTGTATTTGGCAAAACCTTTCAAATTTTGGATCTTCAATGCTCTTCAACTTCGTATTTTATATGGCCTTTTTTTAGATTCTGATTCGAGTGTCACTGATGAGTCTTTTGTAGACGAATTGCTTGTCGTGTACAAATTTTTTATCCTGGTATCTTTGATGAGATGTGAAGATAAAGGGCTATAACTCCTGTTGTCTAAATAATTAGTCATGTTTGTTGTAGATGATACATGTAACTCTGTAAAATTTTAAGCATCTCTTTAAGAAGAGGGGGAAGATACAAAAGGGAAAATCAAAAGTCGAAGACAGGCGTACAAATTCATGGCAAATACATGTAATGTAAAATACGAAAAGACAATCCAGTCTACAAAACACCACATAAGAAACTAAAGACTGAGCTAAGCATTACTGAACATACTTATTTGAAACCTAATATATATATGTTCAATTCATATTATCAATTGAGAAAACTCCATGACAAAAAATTTCAAATTGGCCATAAACTTCCTCAAAATAATAAAATTAAGGAGATGTAGTATGATTACCAATTAGACAACAATCCACCACAAGCAGAACCAATACCCTAAAGTCAGTTATAAAAGCCCTAACATGAAAAAATTTGAACAATGCAAAAAGAAACATCAATGGCCTTATTTATAACAAAACTAAAGGCTCTCAAGAGCCTGTGTCGCTCACCTGACTCTACTTTGGTTTTAGAAATCATGTAAAGATAGATAAAAATCATAACAGATACCCAAATAATGATTGAGGCCAAATTTGGATTAATATTGGTCCCGTTATTTAATAAAATATCCTGGTGGCCATCTTGAACAGTAAATCAGCAACAAAGTAGCAACACTTGGTCAGCACCTCATAAGGAACATTCATGCCATGTTTGTTTTCATTCCATTCAGTGGTACTCTAAAAGAAGACATTTGTATGTATTTCCCATAGGGTCCTATGTTAAACTAAGTCCCCCCCCTAGCGGCCATCTTGGATGATAGATCAGATGCAAAGTAACAACACTTGGTTAGCACCTCATAAGGAACATTCATGCCATGTTTGGTTCCATTCCATTCAGTGGTTTTCTAAAAGAAGACATTTGTATGTATTTCCCATATGGTCCTATGTTAAACTAAGTCCTCCGCTGTCGGCCATCTTACATGATGGACCGACTGCAAAGTAACAACACTTGGTCAGCACCTCATAAGGAACATTCATGCCATGTTTGGTTTCATTCCATTCAATGGTTCTCTAAAAGAAGACATTTGTATGTATTTCCCATAGGGTCCTATGTTAAACTAAGTCCCCCGCTGGCGGCCATCTTGGATGATGGGTCGGCTGCAAAGAAACAACACTTGGTCAACACCTCATAAGGAACATTCATGCCATGTTTGGTTCCATTCCATTCAGTGGTTCTCTAAAAGAAGACATTTGTATGTATTTCCCATAGGGTCCCATGTTAAACTAAGTCCCCTGCTGGCGGCCATCTTGGATGATGGATCAGCTACAAAGTAACAACACTTGGTCAGCACCTCATAAGGAACATTCATGCCATGTTTGGTTTCATTCCATTCAGTGGTTCTCTAAAAGAAGACATTTGTATGTATTTCCCATAGGGTCCTATGTTAAACTAAGTCCCCTGCTGTCAGCCATCTTGGATGATGGACTGACTGCAAAGTAACAACACTTGGTCAGCACCTCATAAGGAACATTCATGCCATGTTTGGTTTCATTCCATTCAGTGGTTCTCAGAAAGAAGACATTTGTATGTATTTCCCATACGGCCTAGCCACAATCAGAAGTACATTTCATATTAGGTCTATGTTATAGGCTTCTATAGACAAGAAGATGAACTTAATTTAAGTATTACATCTTTAAACTGAAGGAAAGAATATAGGGCTTCACAATGCATATCAAATATCATGTATATGTGTGACCATTTTGAAAAAAAAACACTAAATACACGCTAAAAATGGGCAAAATTTCACGTTATGTTGTTTCATTTAAAAATACACAGTTTTTATCAATTGATAGTTAATAAGTGAACCTAATTTGAACTACATTATTGGTTCACTGTTATAGACAATTTATTCATCTTTCTTTTGCTGGTTGTTGCAACGAAAAATCTTCAGTGGTTACAAAGTTATGATAAAAAGTGGAATACTATGCGTTCGTTATGCAATTTTGTATTTTTGTTTTTACCTTGTATAGTGTAGTAATAAAAGAGAAAAATAAATGAAATTTATGCTATTATGTGTTTTGTTTTCTCTTCTTGTATATGAATTATCAAAAACTACCTCATATATCTATATTGCAGTACCCTAGCTGGAGATATATGCCATCTAAAATGGATATACAAATAAAGTGAAAAAGTTCCTGCACTTTTGTAGATATGAAAACACTACAAACATTAATTTCTACCATCTTTTAAAAGAGGAAGAATTTGAAAAAAATGTCAGAATGTCTTGTCCGTAGACACATGACTTGTCCGTAGACATGTCTTTATATCAATATTGCTAAGCTTTATGGATCTAAATTGTTCCTATGTGTTGTTTAAACTTAGAAATATATTATATTTGATTAATTAATGGTTATTTAACTGTTCTCATTTTTTGTAAAAAGTGGCAAATTGTCAGTCATAAAAAGCATACCTTATTTTACTTCAATATTATTATTCCAGTTTCTTCATAACTTAAAAGATAAACTTAATCAAATGAAGAAATAGTATTTCTCTCTCTCTGACTTTATCTTTTGCATTTTAGGATTACCAGCAGATGAGGATGTGTCTACGGACAAGACACTTGTACATAACAAGTATTAAATTCAATTATTTGTCTACTTTGGAACTTAAATCTAATTTATAGGTGATCAAAGTTCTTTCAACACATTAAAACTCAGTATTTTCACCATAAATATGATCACAATTATTTCTAACAGATTGTTTATTCAACTGAAATTGTCTTGTCCGTAGACATTACCACAATCTATTTGTTTCCAATTTCCTTGAGTTCAGCCTCATTTGATAGATAAAATGTATGTTATTTTTTCAAGAGAACCTATTGATTCAACTATGTCAAAATTGAGTTTTAATAAAAGTTTAATTGTTAAACAGTCAGACTTATGGATTTCAGTTGAAAGAATGTGTCTTTATTTTTGCTTAATCAATAAAATTTTGAGATATGTAAAGAATCATGGGAACATTTTTATATTTTCCAAAAATTAAAAAACACAGCTTAAAATTAAATGGGTAACTTAATCTTAATTTTAACAATTATCTTTTTAATGCATTGAATTAAATATCAATAAAATGTCTTGTCCGTAGACATTATCACAATGTATTTGTTTCCAATTTCCTCGAGATTCAGCATCATTTGATAGATAAACATGATAAAATGTATGTTATTTTGTCAAGAGAACATATTCAACTATGTCAAAATTAAGTTTTAATAATGCATTTAATTAAATATCAATAAAATGTCTTGTCCGTAGACAAAACATATAAATTGTATTGCTAACTTTGATTGTTTATTGTTAGAATATGCATCAAGTTATTTTAATGTACTATACACCAAAAGAAAGGTTTTTTTTTGAAGTTTTGTTATTAATAGATAATTTTAGAAATAGTTTGATCAGATCAGAGTAATGATAAAAGAAAGCTACTATTGTTTGAAATAATTGTGAGTTAAACATGTTCTTGTCATTTTTTTTTTCAATTAAAATGTTTGATATTCAATAATTCTAAACATATTTTGTTGTCTTTGTGATTGGCCAAAAATATGATACTGGTGACCATGTCTTGAAGGCAACCATTAAAGAAAATTAGACAGTTTTAAAACACCATTTATTAAATAAAAATATTAAATATTTCTTCCCAAAACTGCATGTAATTATATAAATGCTTCAAGTGTTAGCCTTATGACGGCCATTTTTCATAATTTAAACCATTTCTGTACCAAAATATCAAAAGGGTTTTTGTCTGATGTGATCTTCATTTTTGACTTCATGTGAAACACAAAATGTACATCTGATTGTGGCTAAGCCGATAGGGTCCTATGTTAAACTAAGTCCCCCGCTGGCGGCCATCTTGGATGATGGATCGGCTACAAAGTAACAACACTTGGTCAGCACCTCATGAGGAACATTCATGCCATGTTTGGTTTCATTCCATTCAGTGGTTATCTAAAAGAAGACATTTGTATGTATTTCCCATAGGGTCCTATGTTAAACTAAGTCCCCCCCCCCCCCCCCCCCCCCTAGCAGCCATCTTGGATGATGGACCGACTGCAAAGTAACAACACTTGGTCAGCATCTCATAAGGCACATTCATGCCATGTTTGGTTCCATTCCAATAATTGGTTCTCTAAAAGAAGACATTTTTATGTATTTCCCATAGGGTCCTATGTTAAACTAAGTCCCCCGCTGGCGGCCATCTTGGATGATGGATCGGCTACAAAGTAACAAAACTTGGTCAGCATCTCATAAGGAACATTCATGCCATGTTTGGTTCCATTCCAATTATTGGTTCTCTAAAAGAAGACATTTTTATGTATTTCCCATAGGGTCCTATGTTGAAATAAGTCCCCCGCTGGCGGCCATCTTGGATGATGGATCGGCTGCAAAGAAACAACACTTGGTCAACACCTCATAAGGAACATTCATGCCATGTTTGGTTTCATTCCATTCAGTGGTTCTCTAAAAGAAGACATTTGTATGTATTTCCCATAGGGTCCTTAAACTAAGTTCCCCGCTGGCGGCCATCTTGGATGATGGATCGGCTGCAAAGAAACAACACTTGGTCAACACCTCATAAGGAACATTCATGCCATGTTTGGTTTCATTCCATTCAGTGGTTCTCTAAAAGAAGACATTTGTATGTATTTCCCATAGGGTCCTATGTTAAACTAAGTCCCCCGCTGTCAGCCATCTTGGATGATGGACTGACTGCAAAGTAACAACACTTGGTCAGCACCTCATAAGGAACATTCATGCCATGTTTGGTTTCATTCCATTCAGTGGTTCTCTAAAAGAAGACATTTGTATGTATTTCCCATAGGGTCCTATGTTAAACTAAGTCCCCCGCTGGCGGCCATCTTGGATGATGGATCGGCTACAAAGTAACAACACTTGGTAAGCACCTCATGAGGAACATTCATGCCATGTTTGGTTTCATTCCATTCAGTGGTTCTCTAAAAGAAGACATTTGTATGTATTTCCCATAGGGTCCTATGTTAAACTAAGTCCCCCGCTGGCAGCCATCTTGGATGATGGACCGACTGCAAAGTAACAACACTTGGTCAGCATCTCATAAGGAACATTCATGCCATGTTTGGTTTCATTCCATTCAGTGGTTCTCTAAAAGAAGACATTTGTATGTATTTCCCATAGGGTCCTTAAACTAAGTTCCCCGCTGGCGGCCATCTTGGATGATGGATCGGCTACAAAGTAACAACACATGGTCAGCACTTCATAAGGAACATTCATGCCATGTTTGGTTTCATTCCATTCAGTGGTTCTCTAAAAGAAGTCATTTGTATGCATTTCCCATAGGGTCCTATGTTAAACTAAGTCCCCCGCTGGCGGCCATCTTGGATGATGGATTGGCTACAAAGTAACAACACTTAGTCAGCACCTCATAAGGAACATTCATGCCATGTTTGGTTTCATTCCATTCAGTGGTTCTCTAGAAGAAGTTCAAAATGTAAAAAGTTAACGACGACGGAAGACGCTGGACGACGGACGCCAAGTGATGAGAAAAGCTCACTTGGCCCTTTGGGCCAGGTGAGCTAACAATTAACAAACATCAATTACAAACCAATTGCAAGGTGTAACGAAGACAGAGTCATACTTTCAAAAACAATTATTTGATTTTCTAGTTAACAAATAATCATGTGTATGATGAGGATCTAATATTCTCTGACTACTGCTACACAGCAGTATAATAAACTGATCCTTCAATGAAACAAACTAATTCTTGCATTTGGCATCCTGACATGCTTAATCCTTACATTTATAACATAACCCTTTTCTTGATTTATAAAATTAAAGTGGTACAATGTCAATGTACAAAATCTCATTTATTTAGAATTTATATGTTATCATAATTCCTACAAACATTTCTGAGCTCCCTTTTCAATGGGTCACTGTGTTCAAGTGTGTACATTTATTTGGATTAGTTGTAAATAAACACACAATTATTACATCATACTCACACAATTGATTCCATCCATTTATCTTGTTCATCTGCCAGTATATTATTCACACACTCCCACCCAGAATCTACTTCCTACAACATGTACAATACACAATTATTTTATTTCTTGAAATAATATAAAATCAGAAATCATTTCAAACTTTTTAATGTGCTATCAGTTTCCTCATAGTTTATCTTTATTTCTCAATAAACCATTAACATTGGAATGGCACAGAGAACAGTCATAATATTAATAACAAATCAACAAATCAACATGTATGAGAGAGATGTCAGCCCGGATCACACAACCCTTTATTAACAATTTTAATAAATTTGCATCTTAGTTGAAGCTAGTATAGTGACCTATACATTTATGTAGTTGATAATTAACATCTGTGCTATTAGGACTCTAGTATATATTCACCTTATTGGCAATCATACCACATCTGCTTATTTCTATTTAAGGTCATGGGGAGAACACTGTGATCATACCGATGTTCTTGTTTAACACCCTAGCTCATTAAGCTTATCCAGTTAACCTTCAAATGGCTAAATCACATTTGAATAAAAACAACATTTATTTATATGAAGGATCAAATTTGTTTCGATAGTCTTTCTCATTTTCAAATCTAAATAATTAGCAGAAATGACCTCGTGATCAATAATAATAAATGTGTCATGTGAAGCGTAATTTTAACTGGTGACTGATTTTGGGTAATTATCTGTTATATTAACCTTTTTGAGATATTACATCCCAAATCAGATATATGAATTGTGTAAGACTTATGATCAATTTTAATCATATGATTTTTTGTGAAACTCATTCCAGTCTTGGGGATACATCATGTGCATTTGTTTGGGTGATTAAACTTGCTGAAAAGTAAACATCAGTATGTTGATGGTTTCCTGTAACTGAAGAACCTGCCCTTATTATTTGAGCATTATAATAGACCTTATAGCTATTTGGGAATCTGCAACATTTGACCAGAGAATCTGTTACACTTGAACTATTGACTTCATACAATCACTTTTCCTTTGTGGCGTCTGACATTTTCTATTGTGAGAATATATTTCAGTTTTTCTTTTAAAGTGGACTGCAGTAAGACTTATGTAGGGTTTCATATTGTTTTCCCCCAGACACTTTGTATCGGACTTATAAAAAAAATCAACAACTTCATTGTTTAATTTTTCAGAAAACGAGATATATTTTAGTACACTCATTTGATTTTGAAAAATCGGTGAATAATCTGTTTAATTTCTCATTGTTTCTACATTTTTATAAATAAATAAAGGTGATTAAATTATACCATAGCCGTTTGAATCATTTTTTAGTTTTCTGCAATCAGTTTAGTTGTGATCGGCTGAACTCGATTGATTGTGACAGGCGAGATCTTTCGTAAGTAATAGGGTAGTTTCGCCCCTAAATATAAAACTCCAAGAATGTCTGTAGTATATTCGAAAATTCACCTATACCTCATACATATACATTATATTGATAAAATTAATCGGATGATGCGTAAATTTACCACATTACAACCTGGGACTATTATACTAACATATAACAGTATAGTAGTCCAGTTACAACACAGAATATTACTAAATGTTTAGGATTTTTCTACAGGTTATAGTATGACAAAAGCAAAGTTTTCTTTCCTCATATACATTGTTATGTTTACACAATAATAAACCGGCCTTTTTTTAATTATGATTATCTTCGAATGACATTTACTACATTAGTTTCGATTTATATTTGGGCAGTGGCTAGTGCTTTCAAATCTATCCGGCCCAAGTCGATCCGTCCCAAGTCGTTTCGTCCCAAGTCGATCCGGCTCCATATTTAGAGTCGAGCCGGCCCAAATATAGAAAATATTTATAAGGAATAAATATATATATATGTATATATGAATTGTAATACATAAATGTTTATGAATTTTATAATAATATAAAAGGTGGACGGTAAAAAAGTGTGCTATTAAAGTTTTTGCTTAAAAGTGCTCTAGTTTTCAAAATTTTATAGTCCTTGAATCACGTTTCCACAGTTGTATATGGTTGTCCTTTTCAAAGTGCTCAAAAACCTGCTTTAGCTCTTCATATGAGTCGAACTTGGCGTTTAGTTCAAGTTTTTTGACAATGAAGTGTCGTCTTTCATTTTCGAACGTCAATGTTCAACAGAAATTAACGTTTCTAATATGACGTTCTTCTTTCGTTTTGGAAACAAAGCCATGTTCTAATTCCAATAAAACATGGGCTGCACGTGATTGACGTCACAATTGAAATAGCAACGTCAGCTGTGTTTTGAACAACGCCGGAAATCAAAATGGACATTTGTTTTGGTGTTACTAGCTAGGAAATTAAATAAAATCATTCTAAAAGCAAGTTTACATGTATCTTTTCATTTGCTTATCGTGAAACGTCTATAACGTTTTGGCTTCTTCAAATCAAAATGGATTCCTTTGGAACGCAAACTATAGGTCCGCTTCGAAGTAGAAAAGTTCTAAATTTTCCTATTAGAATCGAAATAATTCTATCATGCCATGCTCTATGCTAATTTTAACATGGGTAGGCATTATATTTGTCAACATTTTACACCTCGCTAACGCTCGGTATAAAGATATTGACAAATATAATGCCTACCCATGTTAAAATGAGCATAGAGCATGGCATGAAAGAATTATTTCTTAAATTATGCTGCTACATGCACATGTATGTAATTTCATGAGTGAAGTTTACCAAAAGAGAAGGCAAAGCCAGGACTGAAAGGTAATGGAATCTAGCCATACATACTATTTGTCCATAAATAATTCCAATAAAAAATCATTTCATATAGTCTGAAAAAAAAATGGAATTAGACCGGCGAAATATCAAAACCCTATATATAGATATTGCCGGAGCCTGCAAAATAGCGCTAATGAAGCTATTTTGCCGGGTCCGGTTAAATAGCATCTAATATTTGAGGTTGTCAAAGATTTTGAAATACTGTTAATATCATATGTGCATAACATGATCTTATTTTCAAAAAAAGAACACTCAAGAAAAAAATAAATGTCATCTTCAACTTCAATCGGTTGCATCATTTAAAGATTGTATTCACGACTCGAAGCCCTGTATGTCTAATTCTTTCTATGTCTGATCTATGTGCACTGATTCTGAACTTAGTGAGAAGTCGGTTTTCATCTTCATTTAAGATTGTCTATGGAAATATTGCCCTTTAATAACATGTAAGCTCTTAATTTATTACCACCCAGTTTGTCATTACTAGTTCTGATTTCCAAACATAAGATTAAAAAAAAAATCGGTAATTACTTACTTTAAACTGGGACTATTATACTACCGTTAGTATACTAGTCCCAGCTATAAATCCATCTTTGATTTTTATGCCCCGCCTACGATAGTAGTAGGGACATTATGTTTTCTGGTCTGTGCGTCCGTTTGTCCGTTCGTCCGTCCGTCCGTCTGTCCCGCTTCAGGTTAAAGTTTTTGGTCAAGGTAGTTTTTTGATGAAGTTGAAGTCCAACATGTATGTTCCCTATGATATGATCTTTCAAATTCTAATGCCAAATTAGAGTTTTGACCCCAATTTCACGGTCCACTGAACATAGAAAATCGGATAGTGCGAGTGGGGCATCCGTGTACTATGGACACATTCTTGTTATATAGAATATTTCTCATTTTCCTCTCTCTTTTTATCATTTATTTTCCTCTGTTTCTTTCTTTTCTTTTCCATTTTCATATTTAAAGAATCTGATTGCAAATTGATGAGTGAATATAGTCATATTCTCAATATGTTGATTAAATAAAAGAAAAAACTATTGACTGTCACACAAACAGTCTACTAAAACTACATAGAAACCCGAAAATCAGGTGTGCAGAAGGGTAAGTTCTTTCTTCTCCATTTAGGGAACCCACTCTGAAATTATGACTTTGATAAGTAATAGATACTGTTTGGGTCATTACAATCGAACTATCTGTTTTCATCCGCTGTCCTGAGATACTGAACTACAGTACAACTTTAGTATCATTTACTGAATTTTGCATTAAACTTTGAAACATTGTAAAGTAAAAGGAAAATCTTTTGCATTTGTGATTAACGTTTTTAAAGTCATGATTTGCTCTATAGTCTTATACAATAATGTAAGAGACATCCATTAGTTTAACAACAACAATAATTATCAAATCGGAAAGTAAGTTTGTTATTATGATCTATTATTGCAATTAAAATTTTTTATTTCAGATTTCATTGAAAAAGTAACAAAATTCTTGGTTGATATTTTGCATATAAAATCATACACCTAACTGCACAACTGTCTTAGAATTCATCTTTTTTCAAAGCACAGTTCAGTCCACCATCTGGCGTATTATCATTATATTGGCGATATCTTCTACAGTATAATTATTAACTCTCGTTTTGATGTTGCCTGTCTCAATACATCTACTCTTATTCTTTTTTTTTCATATTCTCAATTTTGTAATCTTTAAAATGTCATCAGACACACAGGGGACGAGCATTTTATGTGACGAATCTGTCTCTTACTAACACGCCGGTAAATAATGTATTGGCGCACGCCAAAGTATATTGAAACAAAATAACCTTTAAATAATAAATAGGAAGTAGAAGGCCCGTAGTAGAAATGGCAGAAGTAACGCAGCTTCTTGACCAAGAAATTCCAGAAGGTCGCCAACATCTACAAGAAAGTTATATCAATCTCGATAAAGTTGCACAGTATTGTCGGGACAATTATTTAAAGGTAGTCCTTTCTTTTTGCGAAAACGCCAGTTGGCAGCGAAGATCGCAGCTTCCTATATTCTCACTGACACTGGCTCCATAATTTATTAACTCTAGATGTTGTTACTATAACAAGGAAGAGAGTGATAATCAAACAAGCCAAAAAAGAACACCAACAGTGCATTTTCTAAATTGACATTACACTTGGCATTTACTCATGTAATCCCTAAATGAAATATTTACATCTTCACCTACAAAAACGTTACTTTTGTCCGATTTTAATCTGTATTGTTACATTGAAGATACCAATTCTGGCTTTTATTTCGTCAGAGAGTACCTATAATCCATTCTAAAGCATTCACAAAGTTTGTCTGATGTTCATATGTAAAGGTGGAACAGTGATTTTGCTAGCGCTTTTTATTTAAGATACGATTTTCAAAATGACGCAAGTATTAAACAAAAAATAGTACTAAATTTTACCTGGTGACATGCATATGATGATGATGACAAGTTTACGACCCCTAGCAAATTAACAGTTACAACAGGTGTGATAATTTATTGTGACAGAAAAAAATTCATCAAAGATACATCCTGTACGAACTGCGACGCCCGTATATGACACGGAAACCAGGCGTCAAAATCATACTTTTTCCGGGCGTCATTGCAGTGTTTAAGGAATGCATGTCCAGGCGGAAACCAGGCGGAAACCAAGCGTAACTGAGGCGGAAACCAGGCGTAAAATTAGGCGTAATATTTAAATGAGTACGCCTGGTCCAGAGAAAACCAGGCGTAATATGCAAATGAGTACGCCTGGTCAATAAATAAACCAGGCGTAATATCCTTACATAATACTACACTTATTTCAAATCAGTGTATTACCCTAGCTGTGTACTTTTGTGTATTTAATACAAACTTCTGTACTGTTGCTTTAATTTCTCATTGTTTGACATAAAACTGGAAATATTAACCATTGAAGAAGCTAATATATTAATAAATACATTTTAGACAGACACTGGCTCAAATAAGTTTAAAGTTTAAATAAGAATTATGACAATTAATTTTTCTTGAAATAAAACTTAAGCATTTTGATTAACTAAGTTTTTTATAAATTAATGTCCTTTAAAATATAAATGATAATACTGCAATGTAACTTCATGTAAAAGATTTTAATGTTATTATCCAAGGATAAAGGTTTTGGGATTGCAAAATTACTGTTAGAACTTAAAACTTAATAACTTAGATTATACTCACATAATTATTATTTACCATGTTTTACTTTCCATTTTTTTCACAATTTTTATTAATCAATTTGATTCCATATTTCCAATTTCAAATTCTTCCAAAAAGCACAAAACAAGCTAATTATCCCTGAACATATGAAGCTGCCATAAGTCCAACTCTTGCAAACTAAAACCAAAGAGCCAAATTTTGAAAAAAATTCCCATGATCCTTTAAACAAAGCATTATGGGTATAATGATTTACGCCATACCAACAGTTTTACGCCCGTAAGAAAATTTACGCCTTGCTTATTTCAATTTACGCCAGGTTTACCACTTTTTTCTACGCCCGTAAGGACTACAAATTTACGTTTCCTGCTCCCTTACGCCTGGATCTAGACACGTAACTACCACTTACGCCTGGTTTACGCCTTATTTCCAGGCGTAATACGCCTTATAATTTCATACGGGATATACCACTTACCAGGCTTATAAATTTATACACAAGACATGCATTTCGTCTACAAACAACTCATCAGTGATGCTCGAACTAAATGATTTAAAAGGCCAAATAAAAAGCATTGACAAAAAAAATTCTTCTACATGTATGATCATGATTGACACAAAAAAAGATCTATAAAAAATAAATTTAATATAAATTCATCAGATGGGAATTCAGAGATCAAATCCTGGATAGGTGCCTGGATATTTGGAAAAGCTAAAAAAAAATGATATGGAATGTTATTAAGAGATAGGAAAAAAAAGAGAAGAAAAGTAACAGAAAAATTTTGAATTGTTAAAAACTAAATTTGACTGAATATTGATTTTGTAAATGTTTTAGTCACCAGACAAGAAAGCAGCATTAGAAGAAACAAAGAATTACACAACACATTCTCTAGCCAGTGTTGCCTACCAGATCAATAGTTTAGCTACAAACTTTCTTAAGTTATTAGATCTGCAGCAAAATGTTGTCTCTGAGATGGAGTCCAGTGTGAACTACTTATCACAGGTATTAAAAAGTTCCCTGTAAGGACAAGCTTTTTGAATAACTTTATTTACCATTTGACCCTCGAAATAACAAAAGTACTGTAAATTCAGAAATTATTGCGTACATATATTATTGCTTAGTCTGCTTTTGTTTGACAACACAAATGCTTTTTTTAGTTATTGCAAATTTATGAAATGCTACGTACAAATATTATTATCAAAGTTACTGAAATGTTCATTAATTGCAAGAAGTTTAAAGCCCTTAAACATGTTAAACAAATAAATACAACACAGTTCTAAAAATATTGATATCTGACAAACTTATGATTTGTGAAGGATGTGACATGCATCTGATAGTTTAATAATACCGTTTGATTTTTGAATTTAAGTGGCCTTGTCATTCTCAGTATTCACAACTTTTCTAGAATGATTTAGAGCTTGACATCATTTAAACAACATCTCTGTTTATTAATTCCTCAATTATTTGAACAAGACCTTTGTACATGGTTTGCATCAAGTTTAAATGAATAAAATTTACTGGCCCAAGTGATAATTTAAAATTTGGTGTGAGTGTTTTTTTGGGGGGGTTTCCATTACTGAGGCACAAAATTAACCAAACTTGTATCAGTTTATTAATCTGCAACTCCCTGGAAACTTCTGGACAGAGTTCAGCCAAAATAGCAGATTTTTCTGCAGGACATGAATTTTTGCATCTGCTGTTTTGATATTGGACTTAACCATTATTTATGAAATTGTGCTGAACATAATGGAAAATGTGGATGATTTGATGTTGGTTTGTTTTATTAGAATTTTTATTTTTCTGTGGTTTGTGGATAATTAAAACCAATTCAATTTATTATATGAAGGAGAAACATTAAACATGTTAAATAAAATTGTTAAATGTTTTTTAGCTTAGGAAATTAAATTTTTATGCCCCCGCCGTAGCGGTGGCGGCATTAAGTTTTACCCTTGTATGTCTGTATGTACGTACGTACGTACATACGTCCCAAAATTGGTTTCCGTTCTCTAACTTGAGTTTGCCTCAACCAAATGTTATGAAACGTATACACAATGTTTATTACCACAAAACACAAATCAAGTTTGAATTTTGGTGGCGTCACTTTAACTGTTCTAGAGTTATGCCCCTTTATAAATGGAGAAATTGCAAAATTTTTATTTTCCATTCTCTAACTTAAGTTTGCCTCAACCAAATGTTATGAAACTTATATACAATGCTTATTACCACAAAACACAGATCAAGTTTGAATTTTGGTGGTGTCATCTGTGTCCACATGTGGACACTATCCACATTTATTTCTAGGTAACATTATCTTTATCATGGATTCTGTTAAATTCATGAAATCTACTGCTCCTAATTAAATTAAATTCATATATGCCACCATTATCATCATTAGTATCTTCTTTCCTTTGCAGACAGTAAATATACACAAAGAAAAAGTTGCCAGGAGAGAAATTGGTGTTCTGACTACTAACAAATCATCTACGAGGCCCTTGGGTGTGAAAAATGGAATAATTTTTCCTGAACAAGCAGAGAAACCAACAAAATATCAACGGAAAGCAATCGACTTTTCAGTGTATGATGAAATAGGTCATGGGGTCAAGGTAAGCTCATTATTATATATATCATGTATATAGTCCCACTGTAATAATCAACGTTCTATGACATTTTTTTTTCATCTATTTTTTTTAAGAAGAATTATGTAAATAAATTTAAGCCTGCAAAGAAAGATAAAATGACACAGCTTGCCACACTTCAGAAGTCAGAAGAAACTTCTTTGCCATTTTGGACTTAGTTTAAACATATTTTATTTACTCAAAGTAAAATAGATTGGACATCAAGTAAACCATTCTTATGGGGAAGATGCTCATTAATGGGTACTATCCCTATTTAAGGGTATTATACCCAAAATCGGTTATCAATTCACAGTGATTAAAAATTTGAATTTTGTATTTCATCACAATGGCTGTTATCATGGTTATGGCGCAGATATTCATATAAATGGCATTATTTTCTCTTTTAAGACCATAGTTCAACTGAGAACTGAATATAAAGATAATGGCCTCCAAAAATCCTCCTTTTTCAAGGCTATTAATTTTTAATTCAGATGATATTTAATTTCAATCATGGTGTCTTTTGGCAAAATGCTGTCATTTACCTGAATGTTTGAGCCATGACAACAAATATCTTGAAATCTAAAGTTTATATTTTTATCACTGAAAATTGATACCTGTTTTGGGTATAATACCCATACATGGGGATAATACCTACATGTATTTATGAGATCTTCCCTAATCTGTGACAATTGAACAGTTAAAGTGATGGGATACCAAGGAAGACTATAAATGCATGTGTGATCACCCATTCAGCAACTCCTACAATACCAACAGGTTCATTTAAATGTCTAGATCTCAATTGTATTGTCAATTTTACAATCTGGATGCACAATAGGTATCTGTAAAGGACAATACCTATAGTCAAGTCACAATAAAGGAGATAAAATTAAAAAGATGAGGAAGTCATATATGGGATTTCTATTTAAATTACACAATATTAAAGGGATGATGGAGGTATTTATACAACTTTTAACTTTTGTAAATTTCAGATAAATGAATAAAATGAAATGGTGAAAATACGAAAACAAATAATACTTTTACTGCAATATGATTATTACTTCAAAAGAATTGAATGACATATTTTATTGGAATAGACCAGATTTTTCTTCCTGTACTAAACAAGTTTGTTCCTAGACACAGCCATTGTGGATAATTATTGGAGTCAGAGAAAAAAATTGAAACATTTTAAGACTATAGCTACTGTGATAGTATTTTTATTCATTATGTTCGTACATATGGGATACTTAGTTTATGTTATTCATTGGTCTGTAACTTATATTTAAAAAAAGGGAACCTAAACTGTAAAACATAAATTAAAGAAGACATCCATGAATAAATGTACCTGAACAGTGCTTTATGTGCGACTTTGTCCAGCAAAAACAGTTCTAACGGTTGTTCTTCTTCAGGCATATTGCATGAATGGGATCTAAGATGGTTAACCAGATTCAAAGTGTGCCCCAGTTTCTTACTATTTTATAAGCTTTCAATTAAATATTATGTCTATAGAACATCTGTATTTTAATCTCTTTTTAGACTGGAGGTGTACCTAGACAGCAGCCAAGTCGTACTCCATCAGTAAGTAGTACACATCAGCATCATGCTCCTCCTCCTCCTTCAGCACGGCCACCAACTCCACCCCAGACAGCTGCTCCGTCTGTGAAGGGTCAGGCTCAGGGTCATTACAGGACACCTGCACCACCTGTGGCGCCACCTTCCATACCAATGGCTGGTGGTCCTGGACCATTTAACAGTGTTGTTGCTAGCAATTATTCCATGGGACAGATAACAGCCTTACCTGGACAGCATAGTGAGTAAAATATATTCAGTGAAACTATGTTTATCAATGCAGGAAATGTATTCATATTTTAATCAAGAAAGTGTTTAGTATGTGACAGGGGAATGGGAAATACATTTCTGATGAACAAGAAACCAGTACATAAGAAATACTGTCAAATCAATTTATTTCATGGACACAAATTATGTGAAATTATATTTTCATGGATACTTGATTTCCTGATTTTGACAAATTCTGCATTTTCATGGATACTTGATTTCCTGATTTTGACAAATTCTGCATAGGAGCCATAAGGAAATTTGTTTTTCATTGAAGACCTGAAATTGTGGTTCACCTATACTACACATGCAATCAACAAAAAATAGTTCTCTACAAAAATAATGATTCCACTGTAAAGACTTTCTATATAAAAATAAGAAGATGTGGTATGATTGCCAATGAGATGAGTATCTAGCAAAGACCAAATGAAGTAGAAGTAACCATACAGCCTTCAACAACGAGCAAAACCCATACTGTATAGTGAGCCATAAAAGACCTTGACATGACATAAAGTAAACAATTCAATAGAGAAAACCAACAGTCTGATTTATGTATAAAACAATAAACAAATAACAAATATGATAGACAGCAAGCAACCACAGCCACTGAATAACAGGCTCCTGACTTTGTACAGGCACAAACAGAATGTGACATGGTTAAACATGTTTGGAATTGCTTTACCGTTACATAACCTGGGACAGTGATGTAACAGCACAACATATAATCATACTGTAAAAATTAGTTAAAAATTTTTTTGACTCTTTTAATTGACACAAAGCTAACAAAAAAAAAACTTACAAAAAGACTAGACACAAGGTATCTAGTACAATGTATATCTAAAAACATTGTTTTTTTTAAAAATATCCAGTGTACTTAAGAAATATTGATTGATGAACAGAAAGATAGATCTGGAAAATAACAAGTTAAACTTGTATAAATGCACTTTGGCCGTTATGCATAAAAGTTTAAGAGAATGTTAAATTACTGTATATCAAATTACAAAAAAAAAACATTGAAAACATAGGCTATCACATTAAAACCTATTACATAGGACTACAAACGTTGTTTACCGTCTAGTCTACTGTTGGCATGAACAAAAAATACAATTAACTTTGTAATGTACTTTAAGATTGCATCCTTTTATTTACCATTTTACATACAAGTATAATTTACAGCACAACACCAAGAAGGTCAGAGAAGAGCAAGTGCAACAAGATATAGCCAACAGGGACAACCTCCTGTAGGAATGGCACATCCTCAGACCAGACCCTCTCAAGTTATATCACAAACTTCTATAGGTAAGTCATTTTACAGATCAAATATAGATGTTAGGGCTCAGAGTACTTATTATGCACTATTTTAGTGGTAATGAAGGCATGATATCTGGAACTACAATAATGTCTTTCCCTTCTTTAGGCAGTCCATATTTTATTTAAGAATAGCTGATGTCAACTGTATCAGTGTGAGTCCTTTGCTGCTTTTATCTGAACTGCCTTTGACTTTGACAGACTGTAAACATGAATTAAAGGAGATTTGAGGTGTATGTCAATGAGACAGCAACCCTACAACACAAGTAACCAAAAAACATCTAGAGAGTAACAAACATTCAAGAACAATATACTTGTGTCTATAAATACTAAATATTAAGCTCTTAATAGGTGCAAATGAATTAAGCATCAACTCCAAATTCTTTAAAAATTTAAGATATGACACAAGACACCCACTGCTGAGGTTGCTGACTTTGGACAGACAACAAGAATATTTGTGGGGTTTGAAGGCTTTCTTATGAGAACTTTGTAGGACTGCTCTGTTTAGATAAATGAATAAAAACAGTTCAGAAGTGATGAAAATTGGTCACTAATTATATAGTAACCAACAACTAAAATAATTCAGGATGACTGTTTGTAATGCAGGGTTTCCCCTGGGTCAATTTTCTTTTTTACCACCTCTTTCGCCAAAATAATGAATTTTTTTTTCGCCACTTCCAATTTTTTGGGGCTGACTAACATAAACATATTTTTCATTCAAAATTTTCCATCTTTCCAACAAAAAAAAACAGTTTGTCACATTGTTGTCTATTGTAATGAATAAACACTCAACATGCTCAATAATAACAAACATTTACTTTTTAAAAGATACTATAAAATTGCAATATATATCATGCCAGCGGAAACCCTGTAATGAATTGTTGTTAGTAACAATTGCCTACAACTGTCTTGGGACAGAAATGTCTGCCATTGGGATGGACAGTAATTTTGATTAGTAGAATATCTTATTGACGCTAGTGAATTTGCCTTATTTAATTTAGGGTATAAACACCATACACAACACAATAAAGCATGTCATAACAGTATTCCTTTGGTTTTGTGAATCTTGGTAAAGATATTTTTTTCAGAAATTGATGCTGATGTGGCTGGTAATATTGAATTGTAAAAACATAACATTGACATAATTTTTGACAGAATTTATAACAGGTTGATTGATTAGTTGAAAATTAATCAGTAAAATTGCTTATAAATATATTTTCTTCTAAATATGAATTTTCTACTCTGTTATTTGAAAAATTAAAACAAATCTCTTTTGTTTTGAATATTTACTGCTGAAATTCAAAATTTACCACATTTTCATGACATCACTTCATGACATTGATGATATGTAATACATCAAAATGGAAGAAAAAGAAAGACATGTTTGCTGGAAAAAAATTTCAATACATAGCTAAGGTAAAAGGAGAGGGGTTACGAAAGATTAAGCTAAAATTACAGGAAGCAAATATTCTTTACAACATATTAAGCTTAAATTACCGGAAAAGGAAGGAAGCAAACATTTATAATAACAATTTAGGCTTAAATTACAGGAAGCAAACATTACTTACAAAAAATTATGCTAAAATTACAGGAAGCAAACACTCTTCCCAACATATTAAGCTAAAATTGCAGGAAGCAAACATTCTTTTAACTACAAAATAAATTAAAATTCATATAGAACATCATGTATACAAGTAAGAGTTTTGTGTTGTAGGATCCAGGCGAAGAAATGCAAGAGGTAGAGCCTCTAAACATCTACATATTCTTCAATGCAAATGTTTTACTTAAATTTTTCCAATAAAAGAATAACACAGCTATTATCGAAAAATATTTCAGACATGATACTTTTTATGCATGTTTTGTACATTTATTTTTGCATGTTTGTTTGGTTTGTGTCTTAGTGTCATTTTACTTTCCTTGGTATGGTTATATTGTCAAATTTTTTGTCAGTGTTTAATTTTAAGACAACATTTCTAAAAAGCCACATTGCTGTAAATAATCAAATAAAACCATACTGGATTTATCTGTTCTACAAAGGGCTGTTCCATGATTGATCATTTGGGACAGGGGACTTGAATTAAAAAAAAAATAAAAAGTTGTTTAATTTTAGACACTAGCTCTATGAATTATATAAAAGTATAAAAATGTTATATAGTGGTTGGCATGGGTTATAAAAAAAGTGCCCGCCAAGCCTTAATTCTGGAGCAGCCCAAGGCCATATTTTTATGGTTCTGTGTTTGATTTATCTCTTGTAAAGTGAACTTTACTACAACTCTTGTCTAACATTTACCTGATATAAACTAAAGGTATTGCCTAAAAAGTCAGCTCGGCAGTTGTTGCAATCTAAAACTTGTCTAAAAGCTAACTTCCCCCTTATAAACTATAGGTATTGCATAAAAAGTGAGCTCAGCAGTTGTTGCAATCTAAAACTTGCCTAAAAGCTAACTTCCCCCTTATAAACTATAGGCATAGTCTAAAACGTTAGCTCAACAGTTTTTGTAATCTAAAACTTGTCTAAAAGCTAACTTCCCCCTTTGTTGTTTTTGTTTAGTTATAGAATACATTTAAGAAGGCCTTAATTTAAACATCGTCATTTTAGAGTTTTCATGCCTCACCTAGGGGCATTATGTTTTTCGGTCTGTGTGTCAGTTCGTTCGTCTGTCCCGCTTCAGGTTAAAGTTTTTGGTCAAGGTAGTTTTTGATGAAGTTGGAAGTCCAATCAACTTGAAACCTAGTACACATGTTCCCTATGATATCATCTTTCTAATTTTAATGCCAAATTAAAGTTTTGACCCCAATTTCACAGTCCACTGAACATAGAAAATGATAGTGCGAGTGGGGCATGCGTGTACTATGGACACATTCTTGTTATTTGTCAAACACAGAAAGAAAAAAAAATTCAATTGGACCAATGTTGAAAATTTTGTCAGAAATCAACTTTTAATGTTTGAATCAGAGTTTACATTGAACAGATTGAAAATATATTATTGATATTGAATAAATACATCACATGCAGTTTTTTGAGTTGATACATATGTATTTTCATTTATTTGGAAGATAATTTTTTCTCAGGTAAATTAATCAATGACTCTGAGTGAGTGATAAATTACTTGCAAAAGAAATTTAAAGATCCCAGCTGTGAATAAACTACATAGATCTTGATCAAGAGGAGAAGACTCTGTGGAAAAGTTTCATTTGGTTCGCAATAATATATATATCAATAATGTCACTTTAAAAAAAAAATCAAAATGCTAGATCTAATGTTTAATTTTTAGTTATGTACATTGCTTACATGTGCTTATTCATTGTCGAGGCCTTGCTTTCAGTTGCTGAGGTTATTTTATCATTGTGTATAAAAAAGATTAACCTTTATTGGAAAAACTTATGGGTGTCAATTTTTTTGTGTTTTGACAAAATTAGTGACTATTTTAAGGTATTCCATTTCAGGTATTGGCATCTGCCATTTAAAAAGGAACAAACTACTGAAAATTTCCCATAAAATTCCTTAACTTAACAACAAACAAATCACCACAAATTTTGTGAATAAAAGCAGTGTGTACTTAAGGTGCATGCCTTTCCTCTTTTTTTAAAAGACAGGAAATATTCTGTAGTAATATTTGAGATAATATTTTTAAATGTATTTATTAAAAGTGCTAGAATAACAACTTGAAATCACAATAATTTATCTCACATTTGCAGTAATTTCTGAATTTTCAGTTTTTGATTTTTTTTGTCAAACAAGCAATAAAGTTCAATTTAAAGACAAACCAGAACATCAAATGTTCTTGTTAGACAGACTAAGGTCATTTACATTGAAAAGTCCACTTTATCATAATTTCCATAAAACTTTTAAAATGTCTTAAGCTCTTATTTTTTTGGTGAGCTTCATGGAAACCCAAAGGTTTGCACAGAAAATTAGGAGAAAAAAAAATCTTTAAAAACAAGATCTTGAATATCTCTCAATTTCAGAATAAGTGGAAATTTTGCACTCGAGTAAAATATCTTGTGAAAATAAGAAATTTTTTGTTTGTATGTACAGTAGAATGTATATGTTGCATTAATTGAATGGCTTCATTACCGGTAGTAATGCATGAATGTTTGATGTTGTATTTTCAGATGCTTTACCACCACCGCCGTCTCCGGGGATACCTGGTAACACCAGGACCAGCGATATACTGGAAGGTGTGCATGTGATTTTAATTATTATTTACATCTTTTGGTGAAGTTAAAGTTGACTTTTCATTTTAGTTTTACTTACTTGAGTTTACCTGGTGATAGGTGACCTCGTTAGCTCATATTGTGATCTCTTATCGCATTTGATGCGAAGATGCCTTGTTACTCCTGTATATTATCAAAATGGATGAAGCTGTCAACAAAGTATCATTTTCATTCTGTTTGTAGGTTTTTTTTTGTGAACAATGCAAAAATGAATACTCTAGATATAGGTACATATGTACATGTACATCTGTTAAATAATATATCCCTAAAAGGAACTGTTACATAAATTGTAATGTTAGTGTAATATTACTGTTCCCTCAAGATGGAATCAATACAACACAGGACTTTATTTGTACAAGAACAAGTACAAATAAAGTAAACATTTATTTGTACACCTGTTATTTGTATATATACTATAGTTGGCTGATAGCAGAATAAATTGTTCTCTTTCCAAAATCTTTTGAAAGCTTAAGGTATACTGGTCAATATAAATCAAGTGCAACTAGTTACAGGATATATTGTCTTGTGTGGCAACTTTGCAAAATTTCAATGCAGCCTTTTAACAAATATATTCCTGTACATTGAACTAAATGTTGTAGTTTATTCATCGAAAAATTAAACTGAAAGTTGTAGTTTAAATTCCTTTTTCTTTTAAAAGAGTTGCAGGTTTATACATTTGTTATATATTTCTTTAAAACCATTGATATGTTAACTCATATTACCCAGAATGCAACAGATGATTGTATATTGCAGCTTCTCCGCCATTGCCACCCCCTCCATCAACAGACCCAAATTTTGACTACCCAGCAGCGCCACCTCCACCCCCACAATTTACAGATGTTGATGATAACCCACCAGAGGACCCATATGCACCAACTGGACCTCTTAATTTGCTGACACAAGATTGGGTACCTAACCAGTATCTGGAGAAAGGTATGCATATAACAGTCAAGGACTGAATGTTTTAAGTCGACACATGTGAAGTATAAACACTATTCCAGCTTCTCTCTGTATTGTTGAAATGATATTTGATCTAAATGAATCATTTTTCACCGGGCATAAAGCAAACAATCAATCAATCAATCCAAATGAATCATGTTTTTATTATTGTTAAAAAGACATCAACCACTGAATTAAAGGCTCCTGACTTGAGACAGGCACATAAAGAATGCAACTGGATGATGTATGTTTACAATGGGATACATTTATTGACATTTACACATTTGACTTTTTCTCTGTCATATTGTGATGATGGTACAATAGTTCTCAAATGTCGTTTTGTACAGCTAGTTTGTGTTCAAATTTCTCTATAACTGTTGCTCAGATAGCTTCATAATTAGTAAGATGATGTACACGTAGATATCCCACCGTTTTGATTCAAGGATTTTTGCCATTGTGGCCTTACTGTTTGACATTTCTGTACACATAATAATTACTTGTGAACACTTCTGAGATCTTTGATTCAATAAGTCTCATAATGGCATCAAGAACTTAAAAGAAATCAATACATCTTCTCTATTGTACATGTTGTTTTGACTTGCTTATTTTTTACTGGAGTTATAGCTCTCAACACTTTATTTTAAGTTAATACTGTGGGCTCACTTATTTTCGTGGATACCAATTTTCGTAGATTGAGGAAAAATTGTATTTTTTTGGAGATTTGATTTCATGGTTTTTCAAAGTTTTTATATAAGCCTACTTTGTTGAACATTTATATTCATGGTTTGCCTTATCCCATGAACATTGATATCCCACGAATAATAATGAATCCACAGTATCCATAAAAAAAACATTTTATAGAGCAGCTCCTTGGTATTTTGTTTAATAACTTCTTATAATGTTTATCTTAGAATCACCAGTAAATATGTGAAATCTTGTTTCTCTGTTATTTGTTCCTTCAAAGAAACATATAAGGGTTTGATTAGAGGCTAGGAATATTCATGGCCTGCTTTAAGATGTGGGAAATAAGACAAGGAATTGCAATAAAATGTGTTCCTTGGATATTTTTATGCCCCACTTTGGGGCATTATGTTTTTCGGTCTGTGCGTCCGTTCGTTCGTTCCGTCCGTCTGTCCATCCATCCCGCTTCAGGTTAAAGTTTTTGGTCAAGGTAGTTTTTGCTGAAGTTGAAGTCCAATCAACTTGAAACTTAGTACACATGTTCCCTATGATATAATCTTTCTAATTTTAATGCCAAATTAGGGTTTTGACACCAATTTCACGGTCCACTGAACATAGAAAATGATAGTGCGAGTGGGGCATCCGTGTACTATGGACACATTGTTGTTGTTATTTTGTTACTATTTAAACATTGAATGTATTTAAACATTGAATGTTTAGTCTTATTATTTGGGGATAATACAGAATATCTTAAAAACTTTAATAAACTAAAAAAAACTTCTTTCTACATGTATTTCATTACAGTTATTGCTATTTATGACTACGATGCTGACAAACCAGATGAACTTTCCTTCAGTGAGAACTCAGTCGTCTATGTTTTAAAGAAGAATGATGATGGATGGTACGAGGGTGTATGTAATGGCGTTACAGGACTTTTCCCAGGAAACTATGTTGAACCTTGCATGTGAAAAGTGTCTGTGAAAAATAATTAGATTTTTTAACCAAAAGGAGATCACTAAAAAGTGCTTACAAGACACAATATACATGGATTTAAAAATACTTTGTTGGAAATTTCATTGTTTTACTGAACTAAAAGAGTATTTGTTTTATAATAAATATAGCCTTTTTGTGTGATTTAAAATCATGTCATATTTCACATTTTGTAAAAGCATTATTTTTATATATCAAGTATTCCAAATTGTTGTGGTAAAGATTGCACCTTGTGCAATCAAAACCCCATGTCACTGGCTTGATAGCTTTATTTAGCTAAATTTCAGGCCTCGTCTCTACTTTTGAGAGTACACACAACATAGTGCAGTGTGATAAAACATTCTTTAGATCTTATCCATGCCAATGTCAACCAATTTATTTATAATCTTAGATATTCAAGTTACAAAATGATGTGTACAGTATGTATGTATTTAACATTAGTTGTCAAGAAAATTTTTCTATTAAATATTACTTAAGTTGCAGAAAGTAGTGCATGGAGTATGAAGATAAGTCTAACTCAAATACTGCCTAAATATGTTCCATTGCTTAGTACAATGCAAATTTTTAATTTTAAGTTCATAATGCAACAAAGAGACAATTTTTTCCAGAAGCCACTTTAACTGACTTTCATATACTTTTGATTCCTATAGTTTCATGGGTACCAATTTTAATGGATTGAAAAATTTGTTTCCTGTGGAAACTTGATTTTGTGTTTTAAAAAAAATCAGCACACAGGCTTGTAGGAAACTTGTATTATGTTAATTGATAACTTTTATGATCATATATTACTAAACTTAGAATCTCAGTAGTATAAATTTTCATGTCATGTTGAAACACCTTTTCTATTATGACATCACCAATAAAATATTGAGCCTTTTTTATACGACCGCAAACAAATTTTGTGGTCGTATATTGGTATGATGTTGGTGTCGTCGTCCGAAGACACATTGGTTTTCGCACTCTAACTTTAGTTTAAAAGAATGGATCTCTATGAAATTTTACCATAAGGTTCAATACCACAAAAGGAAGGTTGGGATTGATTTTGGGAGTTATGTTACCAACAGTTAAGGAATAAGGGGCCAAAAATAAGTATTTTTGTAACTTCCAGACATAACTTGTGTGTTAGTGTATGGATCTCTCTGACATTGTACCACAAGGTTCCATATCACAAAGGGAATGTTTGGATTGATTTTGGGGGTAATTGCCTCAAAATTTTAGGAATTAGGGGCTAAAAAAGGGGCAAAAAACAAGCATTTTTCTAGTTTCATGACAATAACTTGTGTGTAAGTCTATGGATCTTTCTGAAATTGTACTAAAAGGTTCCATATCACAGAGGGAAAGCTGGAATTGAGTTTGGGGGTAATTGCCCAAAACATTTAGGAATTAGGGGCCAAAAAGGGGCCAAAAAATAAGCATTTTTCTAGTTTCCAGACAATAACTTGTGTTCAAGTGTATGGATCTCTCTGAAATTGTACTGCAAGGTTCCATATCACAAAGGGAATGTTTGGATTGATTTTGGGGGTAATTGCCTCAAAATTTTAGGAATTAGGGGCAAAAAACAAGCATTTTTCTAGTTTCATGACAATAACTTGTGTGTAAGTCTATGGATCTTTCTGAAATTGTACTACAAGGTTCCATATCACAAAGGGAAAGCTGGAATTGAGTTTGGGGGTAATTGCCCAAAACGTTTAGGAATAAGGGGCCAAAAATAAGCATTTTTCTAGTTTCCAGACAATAACTTGTGTTCCAAGTGTATGGATCTCTCTGAAATTATACTGCAAGGTACCATACCACAAAGGGAAGGCTGGGATTGATTTTGGGGGTAATTGCCTCAAAAATTTTAGGAATTAGGGGCCAAAAAGGGGAAAAAACAAGCATTTTTCTAGTTTCCAGACAATAACTTGTGTTCAAGTGTATGGATCTCTCTGAAATTGTACTGCAAGGTACCATACCACAAAGGGAAGGCTGTGATTGAGTTTGGGGGTGATGAATCATAAGGGGGTTCAAAAAATTTGGGGGGGGGGATTTTTTTTTCCTTTTTTTTTTTTTTTTTAAATTTTCCATTTTAAATTGGTTATTTCTGATTTATATATAAAAGCAAATAATAATGATATGGTTTGAATAAGTAAATTAAAAAATTTTAAGTTCTTAGACCACATTCATTCTGTGTCAGAAACCTATGCTGTGTCAAATATTTAATCACAATCCAAATTCAGTGCTGTATCAAGCTTGAATGTTGTGTCCATACTTGCCCCAACTGTTCAGGGTTCGACCTCTGCGGTAGTATCAAGCTGTGCCCAGCGAAGCATTTTATTGTAGAATACCGAAATGTATGTATTTCATGTTTGTTTCACAAAGTACTTCCTATTGTCATAGTCTTGACTTTACCAAGATCATAAATATAGGTTCATCTACCAATTTGAACTAATTATCAACCCATTAGAAATAGTATTGCATCATGGGAAGGTTCTGGATTTGCTTATATGCATGCTTATATATAATCATCAGGATGCTGAGATTAGAATGTAATATATATAGATTTCCCTTGCATCTCACAGTAAAACTTAAATCTTATATCCTTTCCCCCCTGTAACTTCCAGGCTTGAAATATTAGTTCAACTGCCAAATAAATAGAATAAAAACAATATGTTTGAATTAATTTTTATTAATTTTCTAGATCTACATAATTATGAAGTACATGATATAAATATTAATTATACTGTATTATTATATTACCATTTAGTGCAATACCAATCAATAAAAATTATTTGTAAATCTTGTTTATTTATTATGAATGCTGCAAGTTTGTTCAAGTCTAATGCTGTTATCAGATTCTCAAGTTGTAATAGTTCTTTCTGAAGGGATTAAAGATGTATGAGGTTCCTGATGTTACCTTCTTATAAAAGGGTCCCACTGATGTGTACTATTTTTTGCGACTTTCTCGCAACCAACAAAAAATATGCTGATAATAAAAGACACATAATTTTGTAAATTGCAGCTATGAAAATTAACATGTCTACAAACTTTTACACATATGTTACATTTGTTGGTGTATTTCAAAATATTTTACATCATGGAACAAAAATAATTTGTGAAATTTGCTTTTATCTAGCATAAGCGATTAAGAATGGCATGATATCATGTTCGACATGTAAAAAAATAGAAATATGAAGAGTGATATCACAGATAGTTTACAAATTAAATAGCCCAGCGTCTACAGTTTAGAAGAAAGGTCTCCAATCATTAAATTATCATTTCCAAATATGTTATCAGGGTCAATGTAGTTCTTTATGGCTTTCATTGTTCCTACTCCAATATCACCAACTGTCTGTTTTAAGAACTGTTTTCTGATCTTTCCAACTGAAACACAAGATGATTATGTATAAATATAAAATGTTAATCATTTAGTCAAATACATCAGTAACTCAAGATTTTTAACAAAAACAGCCATTTGATCTGAACTGATCTTAAAAAGACTGTACAATAATAAATAAGTCATGATCAGTCGTTTTGTATTTTGGAAATATCAACAGTAGTATTAAAATCGATATTTGAGCAGAAATTTTCTGTTATTAGGTATAAAATATATAGTTGATGTGGAAAGAAACTTAAATGTATTCTTTCTTTATTTTTTACCCAACTATATACTAAAACTAACACAATTTTCAGATGCTTATGACAGCAATATTTCTGGTAGTTTCATGCATATGAGCTGAAAATTCTTGTTTGACTGCAAAATACCTAAAAATATTAAATAAGTGTTCTGCAATGTATAATCTTATATTCTGATATGAAATTTTACATCTTCAATTTCAATCCAATAGATTCTAGTATTAAATAAATTGCTTCGCCGAGCGCAGCTGGATACGACTGCAGAGGTCCAACCCTGAACAGTTGGGGCAAAAATGGACGCAATATTCACGCTTGATACAGGTCTGAATTTGGATTGTTATTTTAATTTATATTCAATTTTTTGCTTTTGTGCAATACACTTTGCTGTTGCGAATTGGCCCCCCTCCCCCCCACGAAAAATAAATATTTACCCCCCCCCCCCCCCCCTTTTTTTTTGCTTTAGTGCAATACACTATGCTGTTGCATATTAACCACATAACCCCCCCAAGCAAATCCTAACCATCCCTTTGTGGTATGGAAACTTGTGATATAATTTCAGAGAGATCCATACACCGTTCCACAAATTATTGTCTGGAAACTAGAAAAATGCTTATTTTTGGCCCACAATTCCTTAACTGTTGGTACCATAACCCCCAAAATCAATCCCAACCTTCCTTTTGTGGTATTGAACCTTATGGTAAAATTTCATAGAGATCCGTTCACTTAAACTAAAGTGATTGTGCGAAAACCAATGTGTCTTCAACTGACAACGACGCCAACATCATACCAATATATCGTATAAAAATATATTTAACTTTCTCGATACTAACAGCCATATATATATTGAATTATAGATCAAACCAATATTTTTTCCAATAATTCTGTTGATTTATAAAAATTGACAAATTATACACCTACTTCCATGGTGATGTGAAACACTTCCTCCATTTGCTAAGATCTCTTCTCTCGCTAAATTCTGTAAAAAAAAAAATATAAAAGTTTGTATCCCTGTATTTATTGTTGTCTCTAGGCATAACTTGCTAAAACATCTTTACAATCTCTTTATTAAGCCCAATTTGCCGAAGTTGTTGGTCTGCCATAATTAATGTCATTTTAATCAACACCTTAATCAATAGAACTTTGTATGCCTGCATTTGTTACTTTAATTCAGGGTTATATGAATATGGAGCAGGTTTTTCAATTACATTTAGTCGGACAGATAAGACAAGAATTTCAAAATTCTAGTTCTAAGAAGAATCTATGCAAGCTTGGTTGAATTCTGTAAAGTGGCTTTCAAGGGGTTGTTGATAAATAAAGTCAGCTGTGCATAACAACACAAAACAACAGAAGTGAATACTATTTGTTGCTACAGCTTCACTGCAGGTACCAGTTGAGTAATATTAAATAAAATCATATCAAAGCTTGCAGTTACTGAAAGCAAGCTGAAAGTACTTAAATTTACTGCTACAAACATATTGTCTTCTTACCCTCTTCTATTTGCAGCTATACTTTCAACTACATTTCATACAGCATGTATGTCTGTCTGTATTGTTTTTGTCATAAGATTTGTTTACATAAAACAGACATTATTGATAACACATAATAACATACCTCTATTGCCTCATATACTTGAACTGGATTAGAAATGCCTCTATAATTAAAGCCAAAATAAAAATAAACACAAGCACCTGCATCATATGTCTGTGTAACCCTATAAATAGAAACAAGATATATCATTTTAGTATAACAATGTTCCAGGCTAATATAAATATGTAAATGTTATATGAATATATCCTGCTTTGTACTACACTGACATGCTGAGTTGGATTTTTAATCTGTAAGTTTACAAGGCAAGTCCACAGGAAAATATGTTTCCCAACTCTGAGCCAATCAGTTTTTGTCGAGCCTGCGACTTTTGTTGCAGAAAGCTCGACATGGGGATAGTGATCCAGCGGCAGCGACGGCGTTAGCTAACTTCATAAAAACTTTATATTTTTAGAAGCTAGAAGACCTGCATACTTTGTATATAGATGCCTTATGTGACGAAGTTTCCGTCTGTCATATGTCCATTGTCCTTGACCTCATTTTCATGGTTCAGTGACTACTTGAAAAAAAAGTCAACATTTTTTGTAATGTTAATATCTTTTTTATTATTAGTAAAAGGATAACTATATTTAGTATGTGCGTGCCTTGCAAGGTCCTCATGCCTGTCAGACAATTTTCATTTGACCTCGACCTCATTTCATGGATCAGTGAACAAGGTTAAGTTCCGTGGTCAAGTCCATATATCAGATACTTTAAGCAGTAGGTCTACTATATTTGGTATATGGAATGATTGTAAGGTGTACATGTCCAACTGGTAGGTGTCATCTGACCTTGACCTCATTTTCATGGTTCAGTGGTCAAAGTTAAGTTTTTGAGTTTTGGTCTTTTTTTCTAATACTATATGCAATAGGTCAACTGTATTTAGTGTATGGAAATATTTTATGATGTACATGTCAGTCTCGGAGGTTTTATTTGACATTGACCTCATTTTCACGGTTCATTTCTCAGTGTTAAGTTTTTGTTTTTTGGTCTGTTTTTCTTCAACTATAAGCAATAGATCAACTATATTTGTTGTATGGAAGGATTGTAAGGTGTATATGTCTGTCTGGCAGGTATCATCTGACCTTGATCTCATTTTCATGGTTCATTGGTCAATGTCAAGTTTTCATGGTTAACTCATTGCCTCCTGAATCTATTTTTAGATAACTGCACTATATTCCTGATTAGATTTTCAACAGCAGCATCTCTCTCCCTGAAGGAAAATGGCTGCCATAGATTGTAAACATAGGTGTATTTTAAAAAAATAATTAAAAATATTTATCAAACAGATATAATTGTTGTGTTTTGTTTTTTGTTTCAATAATATGTTATATTTTATAAATAAAGTAAAATAAAAATTAATACATTCTAACTTTTATTTTTATTTCCTTGTTTATTGCACTATATTGTAGTTTTGTAATAATTTTCCATATATTTATCCATTATTTCTTGTGAAATTCTCTGAAACAGCTGAGACAAAGAAAGACATCACATCCACTACATTTGATTTTAACATCTTTTCTCACTTTGTTAGAAAAACATTGTTTGCAACGTCCCCTTTTGTCATTTTCACAAGGCCAATGTTCAACTTCCTGAGGATCAATATTTGATAAACGTTTTCTTTTTCTGTTGCCCCTGAAATTTCCTGTGAGTTGCTTTGCTAAGTTCATTCTGAAGCTAAGCAATGATCTTACTTTGTTCTTTCCAGTATTTGTCATTAAATTATGGTTTGGAGACTCTTTCATTAAAATAAAGGAGTTTGCAATTGAGAGGTCTAGAAGAAAATAAAAAATGTATGTCCACCACCTTTTGCACATTCGATAAGTTGGATATTCTGTTCTAGTTTGGTCTGCTTTATCCACACCATTCATTTTGACATTGTAGTTTTGTACGACAGATGGACTGGCAACCATTTTTTGAGTACCATCTTTCTGTCTACGCTGAACTTGAAGGTTGTCTAAAGTTGGATCATCAGCTGAGGACAAGAAAAAAATCACTTTCTTGTCTTTCCAAGCATAAGCTGTGATCCTCCCTCTTTGAACTACCTTTTTCTCCCCTGGATTCTTCACACATTTAGCATGTAGAGCTTTAGGAAAATTTTTCCTATTGGATCTTGCAGTCCCTCTAGCATAAATCTTCTTTCCCTTTAAAATTTTGAACAGGTCAAAACTTGTGAAATAATTATCAATATTTACGATGTGATTCTTGTTCTCTAGTCTACGAGTCAAGTTAACTACCACCCTAGAGGTAAGACCAAGCTCATGGTTTTGGGTATCTCCAGTTTTCCCTGTATAAATGTCAAATTCATTGCAATATCCATTCTCTGAGTCAGCACGCATCCAAACTTTGATGCCGTATTTAGTTGGTTTAGCTGGTAAATATTGTCTAAAACCAAGTCTGCCACGGAATGCAATCATTGCCTCATCAACACTAGTATTCTGATGAGGCTTGTAGTTATCAATACAGTTCTTATTGACAATTTCTAATATTGTTCTGACATGATGCAAACGGTCATGTCCTGGGATTCCTCTGGGAGGATTGGTAGTTTTATCATTCGCATGAAAGTACTGACATAGTTTATCAAACCGGTCTCTGGGCATAATATTAGGAACAAACAAATTTCCAAACATAAAATCTTTAGACCAGTACATTTCCATTGTTGGAAGTTGAAGGATGCTCATGTAGAGTCTTATTCCTATATATGCCTTCATTTCTACCACTGTGGTATCCGACCACTGAGTGTCAGGTTTGCCTGCTTTTTCTTGTAGCTGCTTGGCATATAAGTTAGTTTGTGCGACTAGAATTTCAAAGATCACTGTTGGAAACATTAAATTCAGGAAATCTAGTTCATTTCTGTCAGCTGTCATTGCAGTTGTTGGTCCCACAGATTCAGTAAATACAGGCAAATCAATCTGTGACAAGGCATCAGTCCATTCATCTTCGCTGTCGTCACTTCCACTTTCACTTTGACTTTCGTCTTCGTCATCTTCGTCAAAACTAATGTCAGACAGTTCATCCTCATTGATCTGGTGCAACTGTGCACCCTTCTCTATTGATTGAATTACATCTTCTGGCGTAAATCCTTCAAATTCACCCTCATCTGAGCTAGTATCAAAGTGAAAGTCGATTTCGCCGGCCATTGTTTACGTTTCACAGATCGATGACTTTGTAGTAAAATTCCGATGTGTATTTTATGAATGAAAACTGTGCCACGTGTTAAATCTCATAAATATTCATTAGAGAATCATCTGACTCTAAGGCCATCCTTCTACTAGGAACCAATCAGAAGAGGTTTAACAAAAACGGGACCCAACCAAAATGACGCTTATATGCGTCTTTCGGGAAATACAAAATGGCGGATTCAGACGCACATATGCGTCACCAGGGAGCAAAACGAAAGTAAAAATGACGCATATCCGTGTCTACAGGGGCCAATGAGTTAAGTTTGTTTCTTAGATACTATAAGCAATAGGTCAACTATATTTAATGCATAAATTGATTGTAAGGTGTACATGTCTGTCTGGCATGGTTCATCTGACCTTGACCTCATTTTCATGGTTCATTGGTCAATGTTAAGTTTTTTTTGGTTAAGACTGTTTCTTAGAAACTATAAGCAATAGGTCAACTATGTTTGGTTTACTGAATGATTGTAAGGTGTACATATATTTCTCGTTTGGTTTATCTGACCTTGACCTCATTTTCTTGGATCATGTTAAGTTTATGTGTTACTTAGTAAAGCTTTATATTTAGGACTATCAACATAAAATCAATGGTTAGTAAAGAAGGCGAGACATTTCAGCGTATGCACTCTTGTTGTTTTACTCTTGTGACGTATGCTTGGCATAAAAACTGTGAATACCAATTTTTGAAGTGTTTAGATCAATTTGACTGAAAATTGAACCCATTACCTACCATTCACAGTACCACAAGACAGTTGTTGCAAGTTTCATGAAAAATAGGATGTATGGAGGGGAGAGTTCAATTAAAATTATATTTCTTTCGGGAATTCAATTTTCATGGAAGGCAAAATATTTGCTTCAAGTTTCAAGTATTCATTTTTGCATTGTTCACATAAAAACCCTACAAACAGAATGAAAATGATACTTTGTTGACAGCTTCATCCATTTTGATAATATTCAAGAGTAACAAGGCATCTTCGTATCAAATGCAAAAAGAGATCGTGAAATGAGCTAATGAGGTCACCTATCACCAGGTAAACTCAAATAAGTAAAACTAAAAAGAAAAGTCAACTTTAACTTCACCAAAAAACAATAGGAGTTATCTGCACATTATTCTGCTTACTCTTCCAGAGCATCCGAGAATACCCCACGTTTATGGTAGGTTTGTGTTGCTCAGTCTTTACTCTTAGTTTTTTATGTTGTGTTTTATGTACTGTTGTTGGTCTTTTCGTTGTTTTTCATTTTTTTGCCATGGCTTGTCAGTTTGTTTTCAACAATGAATATCCCTTTTAGTAGCATTTAAAACAATGTTGATAAAAATAACTATAACATACACAAATTAGAGAATTCTGCAGTAATGATGGTGAAGTTGGGAAGAGTTCATCATTACTTCCTGATTGTGTACTTAAGTACGGTTTTCTGTGGGTTTTTTTCCCGATAGAGTACTGAAACATGCATATGTGGATCTCATTTAATTTATGCAACAATCCCTAAAGTGTTGTTGCTTTAAAGAGTCTTTACATTTCATGTGTTTTATCATAACAAACCTACATAACCAATGTTTCCACTTTTGGGATTCTACTGTATTAAAGATTTACCAGACGTTGGTTCACTCTTATCTACATAAAAAAATAACTTTAATTCAGTTGTTTTTTAGTTTACTTACTGTATAGTTACTTATTCTTACCTACAAGTGATATATGGTGGAAATTGAATACCATGTTCTTTACATTCTCTATAAAGTCTATCCTTTACATTATTGCACAGGTCCAAGCATCTGTAAAATGTATTATACATATGATAATGAATGAACGAGGTTCGTCACCATTTGTGGCATATGTAACAAACAACACATTAAAATCCAAAGACATTTAGAGGTCAACATGTGTTCTTCATCTAATGGAAGTCCTTGTTTTCTGTGGATTTTAATCACATGCCTCATATTTATGTAAAGATTATAGAAGAGTTACAAAAGCCCCAAATTTGCCCAGATTTCAGTCTTCCAAAATTTGCCCAGATTTCAGTCTTCCAAAATTTTGCCCAGATTTCAGTCTTCCAAAATTTTGCCCAAATTTCAGTTTATCAAAAACTGCTGAAACCTTGTCCTTTGACCTGAATACAAATAGAGGTATTAAACCCTAGTTTGGTAAAAATATTGTTTATGGTTCAAAAGTTTTTGAGGAAACAATTTTTACAGTTTAAGAAATACAAAGAAAAGTCGCTTTTTCGATAGTACTTCATTTGATGATTTTGACATGTGCTTCTTTTGATGCAAAAGAAATCATCATCTAACATGAAAGAAATTTTCATTTTAAGTCTATCATGACACAATTTTGTAGTTTTAAATGTATGTACAAGCTAAAACGAAAAATCAAAAAGATGCAATTATTTATCAAATAGACACTTTAATGCATTTCATATAGTAACTTTTTCATACATACATACAAACATATAAAATGTCAAGAAAATTAAATTTAAGCTTGCTATGACAAAACTAACCTGTCCCATGGTACAGATGTCTCAAAAGATTCAGCTACAATATAATATTCAAATCCTAAATCCTGCAAACAGATAAAAGATTCTGCAACTATATTTTATTCAAATTTCAAGTCTAATAAAGGAATGAAAATTTTATCTACTAATTAATATTCATCATTATTTATCCCAAACAAAAAAAAGAAATTAACTGTTCATATTCATTATAAATCACAGGAGTACAAAGATATAAGGTACATGTAAAAAATTTAAATTCAAGTCCTTCGAAGAAATATTTCTTCTCATCTTGTTGTTGGTTAACTAACACATGGTTGCTATGGACTATGATTTTCCTGTCTCCCCAAACAATGAAAACTGTTTAATTCTATGAAATTCACATAAGGTCACTGAAGGTCAAGGTATATCTATCAATACTTATTTTTAAATATTGTTCCTGAATAAAGATTCTGATCCCATTTAAATTTCAGTACTAATTTATTCAAATTATATATAATTACCCTAAGATATGCAATTACAAATGTTAACATATAGCCTCTCTCTCCATTCTCAGCACCAGCAGGCAAACCTCTGTAAAATTAATATTATACAGTAAATTCAAACTTTCAATTAAGCTTTTAATATTATAACGTTATATTTTTTCATAAAAAAGCTATGAGATAAAAAATAAATTAAAATATGATTTGTTTTTGGTTCAATCATTTATGAAAGTGAAATAGTGAATAAATAATTGGCTTTTAGAAGCCAGTTTGGTTCAATTTTGTCAAAATAAGCTAAGAGGAACATCGCTGATGAATTATTCACTTGCAAGTGAATAATTCGACCTCATTGAATCCATATTCATGTGACCTTCAATTTAACCCCTTAGCTAGAGATGGGTTACACATTAAATAGTCGTGTTCAGCTATTAAAAGGAAAAGAATGTCAACATTGAAAGTGAAACAAGGGTAAACCATTTGGTTGACTGATTCGATCCACAAAAACTCATTCTTATACAGGTAAAAACGATGATTAACATATTTTTTTAACCTTTAATATGAAATCAAACAGACTTAGAAAAGTCCAATTGCACGTGTTTGCTATCTATTTATATCTATATTTATGTTTATATCGGCTTTTATAAACGTCGGCAGTCTTTGGAGATCACCTCAATAGTTAATTTATAGATGGTGTCTAGATTAAAATACACACGAAATGCTGATATATATTATTGAGTCCATGCATTGAAAATTGTTCATTTTAGACTTTTTATAATTTGAATATACGTTTTAGTATGTTATAAATCAAATATGAGAATTTGAGCCAAATCGGTGAACATGAATTTGACAGCTAATGCCACTTTAATATTAATATTTTTGTTTTAAATCATAGATTTAGGAAAAAGTACTACTTATGGATAAGCAGATATTTCAAAAGTTTGCTTAGCATTAAAAAAAAATTTGCAGACAAAAATGTATTGCAGTATCTCCACAAATTTTTTATTTTAAAAAAATCTATAGGGGAAAAAATGAAAAGGCTTTAGTTTACATTGTGTATATTACTTACCCAAATTGTGCAGCAATTTCATATACTCTTTTTTCTTGTGCAGCAACTTCCTGTAATGGGACAAAGAACTATAGTTTAACAGGTGCACTTCTTAAAATGTCAAACAATAACATATAAAAAGAGCTGTGTCGGATAGAAATCGACCTTATGCAAGTGGATGTATACATGTACATGTATAAGACTTTGATTGATTTTGAAACATTCAAATACGAAATATTTTATAATGGTCTGTTTTGTAGGGTTCTTAACTCAATTTTCAAACAATTTCAGACTTTGCCTAGAGATTTTTTCAACCCGAAATAGGTTAACATGGTTAGTAGATGTAGTCGTATTCATTTGCATAAGGTCGATTTCTATCTCAAATGCAATTCACCACTTCGCATTTATCAAACCTTGCATTCAACGGATATTGTGTATTAAGAACTCTATAAGTCATTGATCAAGATGAAAAGTGTTTAAAATTGATGCATAAATATGTAAGAAGTTTAAACAGAATAATTTTTGTTGAGGTTCTCTTAAATAGTGTTACGTTAACAGTTTGTTATACCTGTAACAGGCCATTATATAAGCAAGATTCTATGAACATTTCATTGAAATAAGGTCGTTGTTTTAGTTGTGGATACACGATGTCTGCCCCTTATATAGATGTGGCAAAGCCCATGTTTTGCTATGGGAATTCAAAATATTCATTTGAATAAATAAATAAAATAGGAAATATATGCAAAATGCAATTAGATACTGGTTTCTTTAGAAAGTTTCATAAAAATGCAGGGTTTCGAATTAGACCTGCCAACTTTTCTGATTTATGGCTTATTTAAGCAAATTTGTACTCCTTCAAAGCCATAGTATATATAATAGATTAAAACACATATGACATGTACAAATTGGCACCCTAGTCAATTATATACATGTGTTTGTCAATAGTTTCCTCTCACCTCATTTGTACCTTCAAACAATAAAGTAGCCACTGCTAACTTATGTGGATCAAATCCTTTAAGTTTTGTAACATAAAACTTTTTGATTCCCTCAATAAAACTTTGAAGGAGTGATTTACTCTCTGGTTTTAAAGCACTACCAAATTGGAACTGTTGATTGTCCATTAATCTAATGGATGCTGGAGCACACCTCTGAAATAAAAAACAGTATAAATAACTCACTTCTATAAGTTTAAACTAGCAATATTTCCATGAATCAGAAGCTATGGCAGCCATCATTGATGGACAAGGATCAAAGATCATCATAATTTTTATTACAAGAGATTATCACAAGTACTACTGTTGATTCATATATTTAGTGGGTACTAATTTTCGTGGAATCAGGGAAATTTGTATTCTCGTGGATATTTGATTTCGTGGTTTTGCCAAAGTCAGCATACAAGCCTATAAAAAATGTATACTTCCTTAATCATTTTTAATTCGTGGTTCACAAATCTCCTTAGATTGGTATCCCACAAATAATGAGGAATCTACAGTATTTGTTTCAACACCTTCAAGTTTTTATTTATACACCAAAACAGTTCTAGCCATTAAGTAGACATACATAATATTCAACTTTTTATGTTTTCATAATGATAGCTAAAATGTTCAGTTCTGTAAACATGTTTATAAAAAGTGTTTTAGATCATCATTGTCTCTTATTTCAGTATTATATAAAACTGTCAAAGTATACGTACGTAAAATCATGAATTTTGATTAGTTGATTGTTAATTTTGTTGTGTTCCCCTTTGAAGGGAAAGAATTAACTGTCCTTTTTGATAGAATTCTTAGAAAAGTATAAGGCTTTGTTTTGATTTATATCAGTCTTGTCTTAACAAAATACATTGCATCTTCAAACAGTTGGTTTCACAACACCTAACAGGAAAGTTTTTACATATATTTAAATTGAAAGAGTTATTCAAGGTTTAAGCAAATTTTTTTTATTCAATTTCGAGTTTTTGAATGCAAAATGTTTATAATCTTATCATAAATATACATCAACTTACCTGTCTGGCTACTTCTCTCATACAATTAACTCCATTCTCAAACTGTGGAAACACAATAGAACCATACTTTCTACATGTAGGTATAGGTCGGATCTTTAATGTTACTTCCGTAACTACACCTAAGGTACCTACAAATATTAAATGGCTTTACATAGAACAGGGTCTTTTTTAATGTATCTCAGAATCTCATGTTTATTTTTTTGTTCATCTAATGTCATAAATGTAGTGTATATACCATAATCTTCAATTTGCATGCCCAGGAATAAAAAATATTGTTCCCTGGCTTCAGCATATGACTGTTGAATCGTCTTGTCAAAGTCGTAAAGAACAGGTTTTGTCTATTGGTATGCACTGTACTTGTGAATTCATGTGGAAATAATTGTTTTAGGTTATTCTTGGTAGATTCTTATATAAAATTTTTCTTTAGACAGATTTTTTGTTTACCCAGGGTTTAGTAAAGACAGTTTTCAGTGTCAATAAAATATTTATTTATTTCACAGTTGACTGCATTTTTGGAATTCATATTTTAATTGACATGTACAATCTATAATCATAACCCATTTAATATCAAATATAACAATTCTTCCTTATTTTGAGAAATTAAATGTTTAATATGCAGTAGTTTACAAAATTGTTTTATGTTTAACTAGAATAAATTCATATGATAAAGTCTAACCCAGCAAGATTGATATCATATCAAAGTCCTTACCAAAAATATGAATAAATATGTGGGGTATATTTTAGTGAGACAGCAACCCATAAAAAAAAATAGTCAAAAGACATCTGGACGTCATCCATTTTCCATTTGTTTCATCAATATACCATAAACCAAATAATTTTCATAGATACTTAATTTCACATTTAGCCCTTTCTAACCGACTTTTTAACTATTTATCATTGATTCCTTGATGTATTTATATAAGCAAGACCTTTTTTTACATATTAGTGACAACTTATATTCACATTATTTTTTTCTACTTGTGAAAGTCGTGAAAATTAGTTGGTTTACAGTATATGCTTTTTCCTTTTTTTTTCTATATGAGATATTAAACCAGTTTTTGTGGAAATAATTCTCCAGTAACAAATTGTTATTTCTTTTACTTATATCATTGTGAAAATAGTTTTCTGACTGACCTTCTGAACCCATTATGAAATGATGGATATCCAACCCAGATGACATTCTGGGGACTTGACAACTCTTTTCCATTACACCCTTAGGTGTTACAAACTTAATATGGACTACCTGAAAAAAATAAAAAAGAGAATCTGTGTAATCATATGAAATTAAACATATATTATCCTTCATTCAGTCAAGTCAGCCGATTTCATCCTCTAATAAGTTTGTACATTTTATAAAATCAATGTTAAATGCCGTGATTTACAAGCCTGGTGACCTTATGAGGTAGCACTGTGTGACTCCATGATCTCATTGTAAAGTTATTAAATTTTTGTGTAACAGTCACTTGAAACTACATTATCATTAACCCTTAGACTGCTGCATTCATTTCTATTGTACTTTTGTGTATTGCTGAATAAAATTTTAATCACTGATGAAATAAACATGTTTACTTACAATTGCAATATCTTTGTAAATATTGAATATTCATCAATAAAAGTTATATAAAAAAGTATTGTTATATTCTGTATTTTTTATTTTATTTTATTTTTGTGTGAGTCTCTGGTCATTTATTACCTGTACAGGTGCAAATAGAGGTAAACAAAGGTAAATTTTTTTTTTTCATGTTTTATTAACGCAAATCCATTAATGTAAAAACTTTTCAAAGGTATCCATGACTTCAGAATTGAACCAATATTGTTAAAAATCTCTTTTAAGAACTAGTTCCATTGCGATTATCAAAAGAAAAAAGTTTCTTCTCGGACCAACGTTTTTTTTTATGCAACTATTTTCCGGTATTTTCCTTCCGACTTTCGACTTTTACTTCCATGTACAAATATGTTTTAACAACAAGTTCATTGATATAACTTTCGTCAATAAATAATCTTGACAAACATAATGTTTGAATCTATCAATGTCAGTGATCAATATTGATTCACAGTTGAAAGGCACAATGATAAACATCGCAAATCCTGTTTCATGTCATCCATTTCGAACATCGTCTGGGGAATCCCTGTGGTTCCCGCTTTAAAAGTTTTCTGCTCGCAGTCTTGTTAGAATGTTTCTATTTCCATCTATTATATCTTCTGTTCCCGTCCAAATCATTTAAATTGGCCGCCGCTGTTACATCGTTATCATTGAAATACTTCTGAACGTGTTGGCCATCACTCCAAACAATTTCTGCCATTTTGTTACTTTTTTCATCTAAATTTTTCACTTTCGGTTTCATCGCTTATACCTGATTTAAAGTCAAGAGAAACTCGAAAGTACGCCATTCAGAATCCATACAAGTCTAAACTGCCGCAATCTCATAAATATTGACTCCTCCCATTCCATGGTAACTGTGTAAACAAATGAGATACAGAAACGACAATAGTTGCGCATAGCAGTAGCGGACTGCTTTATCGGAATGACAATAGTCGCGCGTAGCAGTCTAAGGGTTAATAGAAATATATTGCAATGTTATGAAATCACAATATAAACCTACAAATATGCTGTGATAATCCAAATTAGGAAATACCCCCCCCTCCACACCAACCAAAAAAAAATATAAATAAATAGTTAATCTGTTTACAGTACCTATATAGAATAGATATCAATCGATATCAATACATGTTATTTCATATTTATTCTAAAATATAAAGATATTTCATGAAAACTTGAACAGATTCAATACATAACTGATAATATCAATAAGCATAAATAATAAAAAAAATGAGAGTAACTCCCAAGTTTAAATTTTTTTCTAATCTTCCATAAAAATCTTACTAGATCTTCTATATTGCCATAGATATTCTTTTTCATGCCTGATGCTCTGGTAGCTACCCATCCACCTAGTGAACTGAACTCCATAGAATCTGGTTCATGCCCTGTACAAAATCCTTTTTCAGATAACTAAAAATAAAAAAATAATTTACAAAATTGAAAGCTATCAAAATATGCTAATTCTATTAGTTACAGCCAATTTCCTATTCTGAATAAAATTTCAACATGACAAACAGAATAATTGTTGGTTTATCTGGATAATAAAATATTTAAAAAAAATTCATGAACTCTTGATGATCTCCAAAATTACCGTATGTAAAAAAATATACTGGTGCATTGGAGAAAATTTCATAAAAAAATAAGAAAATAAGAAAATTGTCTGAAAAATATTTATTCAAATTTCACTTTTGACTTGTTCAAAATAATAGTCGCATTATTGAAATGAGAGTGATTTTGCAAATTTAAATCAAAACCAGAATCCATGACTTACCCGTCGTTCTAGATCTTGACCTATTATGCCAGCTTCACAACATGCTGTTAAATTCTTTTCATCAACCCACAGTATTTTGTTCTGAAAAAAAGGTAAAAGGCATAAGATTCATGAGCTTTGTCTATATTTGATATTGCAATCATTCTTTATGGGCAGTCAAAATGGGTTGACTGTACATTTTTATGTCATATACAGTCAGTGACTGTATAGTGCCTAAAGCCACCCAATCCGACCTAAATTTTCACAATCAAAAGTACACATTTAAAATAATTTAGTCACAATTCTCCCACAAAAGTTAAACTTGTAAACATTATTGTTCTTGTTTTTTATTTGTTGATAACATTATATAAATTATTTCTTTCATTTCTTATTGTTGATATTCTATTCTGGAATCAGTCGCACTCATTCACAGACATTTTGAAACTTAACAATTTTACTCCACAAAAGAAAGAGCTCTTTTATTGGGTGAATTTTTAAAAGCAGTTTTTTAAATATTTAAAAAAATAATATAAACCATTCAACTAAATCTAATCCCCAATTGAGGAAAATTGGGCAAAAAGATTCAACAAGTAAAACAGCAGATGTCTGCTGTAAAATGCATGAAATCACAAAGGCTGTTAAAACATTCTTGTGACTTTCAAGAGTTAGCTCCCTTAAGTATCTTGCAGCCATGAATTGTATTTCAACCCCAGTACATTTATTACAATAAGGAGCTACATGCATTGTTAATGAAGCATACACCCATTTGTTATTCATTGCATCGGCAAACAGGTAGCAGATGTATGAAAGATCTTAAAAGTGCTTACATGTTATAACTTATAACTCATCACATGAAGCTGACTACCAAATATGAAGTCATTCTGTTTTTTGTTCCAGAGAAAAGTATGTCTAAATATTTGTTTGACAACAGACAATCGTTTGCAATATAGCCCCACTCCTAATGTGAGGGTATAATAAAACACACAAACCATTTGTGATGTGTCAAGGGAGACAATCATTCTTTTCTCTTCTGATGGACATTCTAAAGCAGACGATACACTTGTTCCACCTACAAAATAGTTTTGACAAAAATGATAAATGTTGGTGAATTCAAATTACCTTTTGAAATATTTATATGAAAAATAATAAGAAATGTTCAAGAAAAGAAATTATTACTAAGTGAACTAGACTATTAAAATTTTTTCTAAACTTTTTTTTTTTAATTAAGACTTTTTTCATGATTTTGGAAATATTATACACAACTGCGTACTATACACAGCAAAATATGGTAAACACAAACTCAAAAATTTAAAGTCTGAAATTAACATACTTTTTTCTTTCAAATATATATCTGCTTTTCATGGAACATGAGGAAGCTTCATTTCAAATCATAACTTTCTTTTGAAATGAAGCAAAGCGTTAAAATTTAAGATGGGAAAGGCAGAATTAAAAGTGGCAAACCTGTCCAAAGAAAAAGTTTGTCAAAATTCAAACTGATTTTGTTATCTTACCTCCAAAAGGTATCAACACAACATTATGTTTACAACAAAGTTCAACAATCTTTACAACTTCGTTATGACTGGCTGAAAAAAAAAAGAGTTACATCTTAAGATACAAATTTATGTGTACAAAAAGCTCAATGATTTACTCTAATTTAAGACATGAATGTGAACCTTCAAATATAAAAATAACGTTTTTACTTCATTTGCAAATTTTCATTCTGAGATGATCAAGGATTCAAACTATTATTTAACAATGTTGATATTCTTTAATGTTTGTATTGTGATGAATGGCAAGTTTTAACGAATGAAAACTTTTTAAAACAAGAATTAAGGTGCGCATTTCCAATTTACTCTGAGTATAGACAAACCAGTGCAACTGGAAAAATTTTAAGACCTGGCAGCACCTAGATATATAAAAGCTACATGCATTTTGAGTCTCAGAAAAAAATAAAATCTTTTTATGATTTTCAGAATAATTTTTTCTCATCACTGCAGAAGATGGTTAAAAAAAGTAAATATTGGTAATTTATTTGATACTGTCCACTCATTTGCACTGTTTATATCATATATTGTTGTGCATATATCTATCGTCCCTTTATTGTCCATTACAATCAATACAATTGTTATCTGTGGGGGAAATCTCTAAGTTCAACCCAACTATTTTTACACCTTCTGCAACAAACAAAATACTTTTCATGATTTTTTTTAATTATAAGTATAAAATAATTGTCACTTGAGGAAATTTTTACATATATGTAAAGCAAACACTAAAAAAAATTAGTTGTGTACTTACTTGGCCACACCACAAGATCTGGAATTCTCTTAAATTTCCCTTCTCGCAAAAGAAACACTTCATGTAAGGTATGACCTTCAAAACATATAAATGACTCAATATGAAATTCATGTATAAAAAGTGTGAGCTTGCCACTTATTTTGAATCTAAATCAACTTTAATTCTTTATTCTAAACCAAGCGACTACAAGTGTATTATCCATAAGGGCTGTTCCATCAAAAATACATGGGACCAAGGGAAGGCACTGTAAAATTCTCATCTATTGGTGGGTGTCAATAACTTTTTTTTTGCAGTGAAAATGAAAGTGGAATTATAATTGCCTCTAAAGATTGGTACCCTGTTTTGAAAGACCTTTCCCTCCTTTGTTACCATGCAAGTTTTAAGGGAAAAGCCCTGAGACTTATTCATAAAGAGATCAATTTTGTGTGATATATTTTATAGTTTGTTTGTTTTATTCACACATTGTTGTCAATATGATGGAATTTTATGCGACTGCCATACAAGTGAGAGGTTTAGCTAGGTATAAAACCAGGTTTAATCCATCATTTTCTACATGAGGAAATGCCTGTACCAAGTCAGGAATATGAAAGTTGTTTTCCATTCGTTTGATATATGTTTGAGCTTTTGATTTTGCCATTTGATAAGGGACTTTCCGATTTGAATTTTCCTTGGAGTTATTTTACTTTTTTATAGCAGATATAGGGATGTTTCCATTACAGAAAGGACCTGGTGATAAAAGGGCCTTATTTTCACTGAAATTTCATATTTTTATCTAAGATTTTTTTAGAAATTCCCATTTTCCTAAAAAAATACATAAATTTTGGTGGTTTTTCATATTTTTTTGGGAACAGAAAATATAAAGTGCATGCTAGAATAAACAACCGGTAAGTAATATACCAGTGTGGGGTCTTTATGTACAAAACATAAATAATGCCTTGGTTCTTTCACACATTCAAAATTTCCCACTAACTGAGTAACAGATACATGTATGTGTCAAATATTTGGATTTTTTATTTAAAAATTAGAACTATATATATGCTAACTTTTGACCTTCAAATCTTGTTAAATGTTCATAATATATTGAAGACTTCAAAGTTTATTTTTGCAAATACCCGTAAATCAATTTTACACTAAAAACACATGATTTTGTGGTGCTTTCGTTTTACACGAATTAAAACTTTTTTTCCCTAAAAATGAAACACCTCAAAATTATTTATCTTATATTGACTGCCATTCATGAGTATATAAATTATAATAATTCACGATCATAAAGTTAAGCTATCAACCATCCATCAGACTGACAATCCACAAATAAAAAAGACCATTATGAAGACTTAATTTTGTGTATGAAGTACAAGGGATTCATTTCTTTTCATTGGTACCAATTTTCGTGGATTGAGACAAAAATGTTTTTTTTGTGGATATTTAATTTCGTAGTTTTGCCAAAATCTGCAAACAACCCCATAGATAATTTGTACTTCGTTAAACATTCAAATTGGTGGTTCAGCTATACCCACAAAATCCATGAAAATTTATATCCCATTAATAATAATGAATCCACAGTAAATAATCTTACCGTGAGCTCGGAAAAGTCTGTCTTGGCAGTCGTCTGTATTACTTATTCCTGTACGTCTCAGGTCTGACATAAAATCTTCACGTTTGATAGGTGCCTGTATATCTTTAGCAGTTAATTCAGGCTAAAATGAAATACAAATTTCATAATTTGCCCAGCTACATTTGTTATCAAGGATACATAAATATTAAGGTGTAACAAATATAATGACAGTGTTGTATTTTTATTTTATAACTCATATTTAAAGGAATGATAAAAATTCAATTGTTTACAGCTTTCTATTCAGTATATGGTTTTCCCTTATTATTGAAGGCTGTAAAGTGCCCTATAGTTGTTTACATATTCATCCTTTGGTCTGGTGAGGAGTTGTCCAATTGGCAATCATACCACATCTCCTTACTGTCATACTACCAGTAATAGCACCGACCAGTATGAATTACAGTATATTTAAGTTAAAAGGATGGTAATTTATCAGATTATTTGGATAAGCATTAATATTGCATCATGGCCTTTTTAGACTTCTTGTTCTTGTCTATAAAAAATCAAAATAACCATGCTTTTCTTTTGTCATTTAAAAACTTCGTGGCCTTTGTAATACTCTCCACTGATACTTATTAGAATCAAACACAGATTAGTACTTAATCGAAGTGTTATCACATAAATTAAGCAGCAAACACACCATCAAGAATGACTTTCTAATAAATCCCCTTAAGAGCGCTAGGCCCGAGAACACAGTTATTTCGTAGTGCATTTTTAGACAAAAAACGCAAATTAAAAAAATCACACCTGCTCTATCCAAAAAAGATTTTTTACAGTGTAGTGTACTACTTTTGGGACATTTCATATCAAAATTACAGCAAAGTCTATCGGGTCTAACTCAAAATATGGACAATTTAAGTTAAGGGGGTCTGTAATTCAGTTTGACAGCTTCAGACATACTAATTTATGACCTTTTCAAACTGGACCAAATCACTACTTTACCTTAAAATTCATGCCCCAAATTATTGTAAACATGTAATTTTATCCCCCTTCTTACTATTTTTTGCATAAAATATAAAGAAATAAATTTGGAAGGTGTATGAAAAAAATTTGCAAGTTACATTGTCGACACTAGGGACTATTTGTAGACAACGAAAATTAAAGGACGATAACTGTGTCCCCGGACCACTAGTTGAAAAATCTGAGAATCATTTTAAAAGTTGTTGCCCATACAACTACAACTATTGCAGTTGTGGTATATATTATTGACAAACTGTACCTGTGCAGGTGTTTTATGATCTAGACTTATTCCAACTGTAGCCATCATCCATTCTTTTAACATAGGCATGGTCTGTCCACTAAGTTTGTATCTGAAATATACAATGAATACACTAGATGGTACCATATGACCAAATAAACAATTATTTCTTGTTTTTTTAAATTTTTTTAGGATGATGAAATTTCAAATGAAAGAAGATTGTATAAAATGTTATTGGATGTTAAGTATAACATGTATAATGTAGAGTATAATGTATACAAGCCGAAGCCCCGCCTATCTATTCATTGCAGATGTCAATCTTAATTACAATGCTTGAGCAAACATTTATACAAAGAAAGCAAGCAAGGCAATAAACCTTTAAACTACAAGCATTAGGAAAATAGCTCTAACTGGAACAAATGGTTAATACACATCTGGAATCTTCTGAATAACTTTAAGAGATAAGTCAGGTAACTTTGGTTTAAGCCGACACTCAAAGAATTCAAATACAGTATAGGAACATCCATTTTTCAGGTGTGTGGGAAATTTTATAGATTGTGCTTTTTAATTTTTTGTGATTTCATTTATAACAGGTTAAAAGGGAAAATTGCAATGGAAAAGTATTATAGTTTTTGGTTTTTTTTTTGTGAAAGTTTAATATACCAAAAAAAACATAAATAGTTAATACCCAATGACCCTTAGTAGTAATAGTACAATTCAAAGTTTGATTTGATTACCATTTCTTGACTATTAGTTTGTAGTTGTAACATTTGGACTTCTACCACAATGATAATAACAGTGAAACATGTTTACACCAAACCTACAACTGAGTATATATTTTTGTTTCTTTAGAATGGAATTTGGTTTTGTACAAGTACATCCTCCCCATATTCTTTACTCCCAATTAGACTTCAAACAAAATGATTAAGTTAAAAATCACTCTCTTTTGTTTTTAGTGAATCACAGTGAAACTGGGTGATTGCTATTGATTGAAATTGTTAACACTCTGTCATACTTTACCTATGGAATATTTGACAAAGACTTTATGCAAAGGCATATATAAGACTAAATCACTCATAATCACTAGAATTCACTTTAAAAAATGCTTACCAAAAGTAATTTTAACTAAATCACCATTAATGTTCAGCATATGTACATGATGTACATCTAAATTATGTTTACCTTTCTCCTGTGAACTCTACTTGTCCATCCTTGTTGACCTTGAACTTTGAATCTTTGTATCCCCAACCATTCCATTTTAACACTTCTTGTCTGAAAGAAAGTTAATTAGTTTAATGTTTAAAATTTAATATGTTTTTAAATCCAGTTCTTGCAAACCTTACTATAAATACTGCACAAGCATTTTAAAATATCTTAACAATTAAGACTTTTTAGTTTGAATTCAAATTTTATATGAACACCTTTTAGGAACATTCAAGTAACAGTTCCTCAGCTAACATGAACATACACTTCTCCCAATTGCACTGTTTATCATGTTTATAATCATGGTTTGATTTTTTAGTGTTCTTTGTTTATCTGTCTCCATGTCCTGAATTTACTGGTTTAAAAAGAAGTGTTAACAAGAAAATTTAGTGAGGGGAAAAAACATTTCAATTTTCATACGAGAATAATTTCTTGGAAAAAAAGAAGATAGACCCTTAAACCACGCTAAGGACTTATATTTTCCTTGTCTGTAAACTGTGGTTGAGAAAAATATCCCTCCATAGTCTAGCTGTGGAACCATAGCTCTTAGGTCCTTATGATATTTTCTTACTATTTGCGGACCCGCAATGAGTAAAAAAATATCATAAGGACCTAAGAGCTATATGGTTCCGCAGCTATCCATAGTCATGATAGTCATTCGTTAACAAGAAAAAATTTCCAAACAATCCAAGGAATATAATAAAAAAAACTTAAAAGTACTTGAATACTAATAATATCATTTATTTTAAGATCCTTTGAATTCAAACTTATTAGGGCATAACATAATAATGACAGATATGAAATCAGCAATTGCAGTTTATCATGTTTATTACAGCACTGGGTCGATACTGCTGGTGGTGGACTATCAGTCCCTGATGGTATCATCAGGTCAGTAGTCCATACTTTATTACTGAAATGATTTAAAACAACCTTTCTAAATTTGTCTGTTTATAAATTTAGAAATTATGGAGACATTAAGGTTTCAACTCCCTCAGCCTGAGCCTTTGGCATGAAATTTGTGGTTTTCTGTAATTTTTTCCTCGACATAAATGAAAAATACAGCATGCAACACGACGTTTATTCTAAAAACTTTGCGGTTAAAGTGTAAAAGGAATACTTCAAAGAAGTTTTTCATCAACATTTACTACATTTTGTAAAATTTTTTTTTAACAGAAATAATAAAATAACTATTACTGTTTTGCATAATAATTGATGGCACATTTAGGAACTCATATCATTAATAACACATTATTTGAGTCATTGGAAAAGTGCAAAAATGCATTCTCATTATAAATTAACAAGCGCAGAACACTAGTTGTCCATGCTTGTGTTATATCACGTACCGGCGTTTTGGCATTGACGGGGCTTCATTTTGTGCTGCAACATTGTTTTTCTCTGTACCATTGCATTGAGTCAAGCTGTAACTATGGCTTGAATTTTCACAAATGTGTTTATTCACAATAGTATGCCTGTCCTTCGACATGTTCTTATATAAACAGTGATAAACAGTAACTGGACCGATCAGGCGTTGGTTCAAAGGTTTGTATAATGAAAAACGTAGAGACATCCGAACATCGTTAAAGACAAACTTGGCCCTTATCTTTCGTCACTATAACGATAACCTGTTGAACAAAATGTATATATCTGTTCTGGCTTATTTCCCCCGGACTAAATGGAATCCCATATTCATCTGATGAAGTTGTGCACATTTAAGTAGTTTCCAATCAATTTATTTATTACGGGTGTTTTGTGTTGGTTCCTTTGAAATGTCTTAATTTCTTATATTATATCGCCGGATCGTTTTAATAAAAGACTCACTTATATTTCAACTTCATTACATGGGCATTTTCAACTTCTGATGCCAAGGGCTTTTTTCAATGAAATTAAGAGGATCTCCTTTTTAATTGCGTTTTTTCTTCTAATTGAAAGTTTATACAATCCACATACTACATATTTCACTGTATAACTATATTTAAAGCTGACATTGATATACCTATTGAATGAAATAAATAATTCGACAAATTCATATGCACTTGTTTGACAAAATGCATGGCAGGAGTTTTTATAAAACACATAATTTTCATGATGCAGAGCAGAAGCGGACCAAGAGCTTCAAGCGTTGGGTTTGTGTTACCCCATGGAACTTTCCCCAAATATGCCTTCCATGGTCGCCCCGACATTTACCCCACATCACCTTTCGTTCATTTTTTCACCTTCTTTCCTTTGTTGGATGCTTACAATTGATCAAAAGTACATTAAACATGTAGATAAAAAAATGCTTCACAATATGATAATTATGATGGATTGGAGCTTAACGTCCAGTTGCAAATATATGACGAATATAAGGACGAGGACATATTTATCAATGTAATATGAATATGAACCATGCTATGTACTATACCAACTTGCCGAAGTGGATTTTCTCCGTGCACAAGGGAATATTCCGCAAATAAACATGCTAACCTACCGGAAACATTATTCTGACTCCAAGCCGACTAGTATTTGCTCTTACTCCTAAATCATGCCTCGCGCTTAGTAGAAAAGATGAAAATACTAATTTTCAAGTTTTTGGTCGAACTCAAGACCATCCACAATCAAGACGAGCACACTTCTACAAGACCACTGACCGAGGCGGTTTACTTTATTAGAAAAACATGTTCAAACTTAGGTCATAATGGAAAATAATTCACATAAAGCTTAAGACAACATGCACATCTCAATTGCTCTCAATTGCAAACGAGAGGCAAAAGGTACAAAAGGGACATTCAAACTCATAAGTTGAAAATATACTGACAACGCCATGACAAACAGACAAACAATAGTACATAGAACACAACATACAAAACTAAAGACTTAGCACTTTGAACACGAACCCCACCAAATTAGCTATAGCCCATTGCATTGCATATAAATCATATATTGTAGCACTAGGTACTGATGTTTATATAATGATAAAACAAGGAGATGTGGTATGATTGCCAATGAGACAAAGTTCAAATGAAGTTGATGTATTCAATTAAAGGCAATCGTACGGCCTTCCACCATGCCGAGAAAATCCATACCGTATAGTCGGCTATACAACTGTCAAGGCCCTGACATGAAAAATATGAAACAATTCAATTTAGAAAACTAACGGCCTAATTTATGACAAAGCAATTTATAAAAAAACAAATATGACGGACATGAACCAACGAAAACCACTGAACTATAGGCTCCTGACTTGAGACAGGCACATAAAGAATGTGGCGGGGTTAAACATGTAAAGTTAGCAATACTAGCTGTATGATGCACCAACCTTGAGATGTTAAGAGTGCGGTTTAAAGAGAATCCGTAGTTGCTAGTGCTGATGCATCCTTTTGTCTAAAAATATTAAAATACTTTTAATTTATATAATAATTTAAGGTGAGAGGTAGCTTTTTCTCATCCGGGTAACAGACAAGTAAACGTAGTTTTTATTTCAGTTTTTTGTGTATTTTTTGTCGTTGTAAAAACAATCTTTCATCAAAATCATACGTTGAACAGCCCGGCGAAACCAGAATATTATCCATTGTCACATTGGAACATCTGGTTGGTTATAAAATGGGTTTACCCCAATTTCAATGTGATTTTTGCATGTGTATTTTTAACGATCTCTAACGACAACATATTACCCAGTGTTTTGCATTTGCGCCAAAAAAATCTTTCATTTCATTTTGCTACACAATCCATATTTTCATTTGCGCCAAACTTTGATAAGATATTTAATTTGGTTAATAGTATGAATAATAGTAATACATTTTGTACTAATAACTTTAATTTAATTCTTTATTTATTTAAAGATGATAGCCAACAGCGTGTGTGTCTCCTCAACATAACTATATACAGAACAAAGTGTTTTTACAAACATTTTTAACACAAGACATGACAATATGTACAGGACAAGACATAAAGATGTAAACTTCACACCCATTCAGCCACTCACTCATTCTTACTCAGACGCACACGACTTACAAACATGTTGAAATCAGTAATGTAAATTAATACGTTTATATAAAATGCTTATATTAATCTCTTCTGCGTTCGCCAGTGTTACATGTTACCCCTCGTCACCATAGGGAGGTTGTTGTAGAATATGGAACTACATAAGTCCCCAAAAAAGTTTAAATAAAGTAAGGTAAAACACATTATTTCTTATGCAGCATAAATACTGCAATCTGATTGGTTAATTGTAAATAACACCCCACCCTTGTTCACCCCGAGATAAATAAAATTTTGCCAAAAAATTTAAAAAAATAAAATTTTTGCCAAAATAAAGAAAAAAAAATGTCAATAAAAAAAAATTAAATGTAAAAAAAAAAATAATAAATAAAAAATGAATAAATTTGAGGACAAAAATTTGTAAAATTTTTTTCCCGAAAATTCGAAAGAACACAAAAGAATTCAGAATTTCCCCAAAATAAAGAAAAAAAGTATTTAACAATGTGCAGCAACATCGACGTTGAAAAAATGTTATTTCTTATGCAGCAAAAATACTGCAATCTGATTGGTTCATTACCCTGGTGTAAATAACACCCCACCATTGTTCACCCCGGGGTAAATAAAATTTTGCCAAAATAAAGAAAAAATAAATAAAATGTCAATAAAAAATTTAAAAAATAAATAAAATGTCAAAAAAAAAAAAAATAAAAATAAAAAATAAATAAATTTGAGGACAAAAATTCAAAAGAACACAAAAATTTTCTGAATTTCCCAAAAAATAAAGAAAAAAAGTATTTGACAATGCGCAGCAACATTGACGTTGAAAAAATGTCACACTGGAAATTTTTCATTTCCATTTTTCAATTTTCATCCTGGTTTAAAAATGAATAAAGGAATTGTTCATAAGAAATAAATTCGTTATCTTGGAGTAATCAGGGGTGTACGGAATTTTACTCAGTCTATTGCCACACGGATTCTTCTTTGTACCTTTAAGACTTGTTTCTGGTCTTCAAAAACTCAGGATAATCTGTATGTGTTGTCATAAAAAAATACGGACTTATTTCCTCTGTTTGTAATAGACTGAATTATGTCCATCTTGTCACCTTGAAAATGGGAATTTTATACATAAGTTACTTTCAGTAATGTTTGAGAAATGAGTATGAACTATAAATACCTAGGGATTACTCTACAAAATTTCTTCTACGAGCCTCTTATTTGAAACAAAATCTAAACGTCATTTGTCTTACCTGGAAAGTGATGATTTTTTTTGTTGGCACAAATGAAAATAACCTTGTTGCGCAAATGAAATCGACTTCATTTTTAAAAATACCATTACTACTTTTTTTGAAAAAAAGAATGACAAACAAGAATGAGGTATTTTATTTTTTTTGCAAGGAAACATTTATCATAGAGACATATATAGTATGGTGTAATAATTGACAAAAAAAATATTAGTATAAGTGTAACCTAGAAAAATTCGGTACCATATCATAATAGAGGATGAGACTCATTTTCTGTTTTCCTTTCCTGAGTGTCCTCTCTGTGTCCGTATGAGTGTAATGCAGGAAAATATGGAAGGATCGCTGCTGTATCGAGTTGTCTCCCCTTTCCCTCCAAAACGTTAATGCTACTAAACTAAATAACGGGGGACGGACATCTTTCGCTTGGGGTCTTTTCACGTCTTCGTTCATTTGGGGATTCTAGCTTCTTTCGGAGTATCTGGGGAATACTAGCATCTATTCGGGTATCTGGGGGAATCTAGCTCACTCATTTCTGGTCTATGTAAAACCTTCTGTGGGTGTGTCCCTCATCTCGGACACTTGTTCTTTCGAGGCCTGGCGCTGGTGATTAAAATACAATGATGTTTTTATGATTTATTCCAAACAGCAATCTTATTTGAAGTGTGATATGTGATGTTGGCGGTCTTCCCTTTTTAAACCCACCATCACGTGCTGATAGGAACTATTTTATTCACCAATGAAATTTCAGCGTCAATTTTGAATTTTCTAAAGTTACTTTTTATTGGTCAATTCTTCTTTTTTTATGTAAAAGATTTATATGATTGAAAGGGGTGGTACAACAAATGTTATTAATAATGAACTATTACTCAAAATTATATTAGACTGCTCAGCACTAGACATAATGAGTAATCAACCAATAGACAAGTTGCTAGATATAGAAAGGAAGACACAAGATTTATGCTACCATTTACACATGAAGCGTACACAACTTTTATGTGATATCAAGTGACATTAAAATATAACATTAATATTAAATATAGTCTGAACAGTCTGCATGGGATGCCAAGCTAACTGGTTCAGTCTATAAATATCAGCATAAAAGATGCTATATAATTTTAACATTTGCCTTGGCAGGGCACCTATTGACTAGAAATCGTTAGGTTGTAAAATTTTTATTTATTCATATTGGTGAATCAAAGTGCCGTAATTTGTAACGTGTGAATAATATTTTTTTTTTTTGTATTACTATCTTTTAAAATATCATCAAAGACATTATAAACTTTTATTTTATTCACTTTAACTAACTAATTTTATTTTAAAATTATATATTTTTCATATCGTAAATATAAAAATATCCGCT